TAACACACACCTGGAGCATTTATACCTCAGAAATAAGATCTTGGACGGGGTTTTTAGACATCGTCATCATAGAGATCACAGTGGAAGGCATTGAAGCAATAGAAGAAATGCACAAGAGTACTGAGACAACGTAGGGTCAATGGAGAGAATAGGGCTCACATTGAGTCCTGAGCTTTCCCAATAGTGCTGTGTGAGAAGGACCCTGTGAAGGACACCAGGGAGTGTGAGCTGGTTCACAGGCAGTCAGGAGCCTGAGATGTCGAGAAACCGAGGACAGGGAATCATTCCAAAAGAAAATCATGGCCCAGTTCTGCTTTTCTTCCAAGTAATAGAAAGATGCAGAAACACTCTTTGCGTTTAATTATGGGGAGATAGCTGTGATATTATCAAGATTGATTAATACACAGACCATTGGTGATTCAGTAAGTCTGAAGTGTGGGGGAGTGAGGAGATGGTAATTCCATGAACACTGATCTTTCAGGTTCATTGTGAAGGGGAAGGAAGACGTGGGGCGAGAACTAGAGAGAAATGGGTTCAGGAGAGGCTGTTGTTTCAATAATGAAGAGATTGAATGAGTGAAAGGAATTCGATGGGGGAGGGGAGAGGAGGTTGCTAGCAGAGAACATGACATTTGGAATCAATCATAAAACTTCTCTAGAGAGGAGGAAGAAGGGAGACAATTAGGCTAAACCAAGGATCAAGATGAATTTTCAATGGAATCAGGAGAGGAGTCATTGATGGTTAAGAATGGTGGGATATTTGTAGACTTTGTGGCGGTGAGCTCAAGTATTTCTTCTAATGATCTAACTCATCAACATAGTAGGAGATGATCCCATTGGTGGAAAGTGAGAGGAAAGGCAAGAACTTTTTAGATTCGAAAGGCTCGGTGAAGGTCTGAAATATTTCTGAAGCACGGAAGGACGCACCAATTATCAAGGCACCGTAGGATGTCTGATCATTTTGACAGCCACTGGGAGATTTGTGACGCCACAATTAGACCTGGTCAGTGTTTTAATCACGTGCTGCGGCAGATGCAGCCACGAGAAGGGTGATCCAGTTTTTGGAGTCAGCTGGGATCGGCGTCTTGATCATCAGATGCAGTAAAAGGTTGGAGGGCCGTGAGCACGTTTGTTCCTGGTGCATATGTGCTGACATGAGTAAGTGGAGGCGAAACATCCGTAAAACAGAGGAGAGCAGAGGGCTGATATTTGGGAATTTGGGTCAATGCACTGAAAGTTCCCCTGAATTAGGAGCAGCTTAACATGGGGAGTAACTGTGGGAGCTTGCTGAAAGGAGAAGAGTCATGGTGAGAGGGAAGAGTGTCTGATCGTTCATCTGAGGGGACACCCAGGTACAACTTGGGTCTGGGACCTACTCCCTCAAGACTAGCACGTTTCGAAGTTTGGGATTCAGAGACAACAGAGCTAGGTTTACACTCTAGCTCTTCATTTTGTAGCATGGAATTTTGGGGTATCACTAAAGCTTTCTGAGCGCAGGTCACCTCACTTGTCAAAGGGGTAACACCTCCGGAAACCTCAGGGAAATATTATATGAGCCAATACGTGTATTTCCCACTCACTGGGTTTCAATTCGTACTACCAGAAATGGTTTCGCTATTCAGGAGCTCGGGATCAAAAGGTTGTAACCCACCCCTGTTCCTGACACACTGCAGTATTCATCCATGCCGAATTTAGAATTATTAACGTTGATGTGGGTAGCACTTTGGAGGTGACAAATGCTTTAATACACATAAATTGTGAGAAGAAGGTATAATCCTGGTGATGTTAATTACAAAGACAGATCTCCAGATACCATTTCACTCAGATATGTGAATATTACTGAACGCAAACACAGGTTCATTACCTGTTACACTGAAAGGCCCAAAACTGGAAATGCCAGGCTTGTGGCAAGGAAAGAGGTTTATTATCAAAAGGCAAGCAGACTAGGAGATGGGAGATAGAACTCATATCCACCTCCTCGAAGGGAAGAAGATAGGGGTTTTCATCTGGGGTTTTAGACAGAGGAGGCAGCTTGTGCTGGGCTTTTAGGCAGGGGAGGGGGAGCATGTTGCCTTGCCGGTTGGTTCCTTCCCGTCAGCCTGCACTTGGCCTTGAAGGCTGAGATTTTTTTCCTTTGACTCTCCGGACTTTTCTGGTTAGTTTTCATCTTCAGCCTGCTTTTGGCCTTGTGAGGCTGAATCTTGATGTCTGGACCTTTATTTCCTGGGAAAGACAACTCGCTCATATACTAGGGAGGGTCAGAAAGATCTGGTTAGTTTTGAACAGCAGTTGATTATGCTGAGTATGCACAGTTGCAGTTAGCAAAGATTATCTCAAAGGTTTTTTTCTCTACTTCTAGTCCAGGAAAGATTTTTTAACCTCTTCATCCTCAGTTTCAGGAAGAAGTCAACTAAATTACTCCCCAAATTAAATTCCTGCACTCTGCATTTGCTGAGCCTATCTGCCCTGTTGGGATCGTGGCACACACCAGTAGACTTATGACGTGTGTCCTCCTGCTTCTTTCCTGTGTGAGGGCTCTTTAGTCCCTGATATGCACAATGAGAGTCAATGAACCTTCTCACACGATGTGAGTCCTTGACATTTTTCACCCACCATTAGGAGATCCCAAAGTGGCCTGGCCACATGTCCAAGGCCATGGAGGGCAAGTCAGGGTCAATGTCCTCATGTTGCCTGAATCCCACCTGGAGGAGAGCCAAGATAGTTGGGGACAGGTGTGTCAGGGAGCAGGGGGCAGGGTACGGCAGGGAGGGTGGGGGCTAGAGAGGGCTGGGGCGGGTGCTGGAGAAGAAACGTGTGTGCACCTAACCAAGAATTAATACCTCAGAAATTCCAGAGCGGTGTCCTTGTAGAGACAAGAATTCCCAAGTGATGATTGTGAGGGTTTCCTAGGATTTGGTGTTAATCCCAGGAATTAAATATTAATTAAATAATACTTCCAAATGGGAGGTCTAATTCAAGTTTAAAAGGCTCTGAATATCATTTTACCTACAAGTGGGGCTATTACTGTCTTCCTTATGAGCAGCAGTGTCCAAGCCTTCTTACCCCTAGCCCTGGGAGAGGAGAAGGCTGTCCTGTTTGTCTCAGGTCACCTGCAGGTGCATGGGTTGGGCAGGGTCACTGGCAGGTGTATGTCTGGGGGGGGATTCATGACTGCTGGTTCTAGCAATGTTATTAAAGCCTGGATTCTCATGGCATGTTTCTCTTTCTTTGCTTTATCTGCTTAGTTTTCAGACTGTCCCTGGATGAGGACACAGAGGGAGACAGGTGGGGCTGAGCTCCTGACACCGACACACAGGTGAGTAGGTACTTGTTCTCACTCCTGAGCTGGTCCGTCTTTGCCAGCTGGGCAGATTTCTCCTCTTGGCCTTGATCTTCTAAATGCACCAGGAAATATTAGTGCCCTGTCCTCACATGGCAGATCAGGGAGTCAAGAAACTAGCCCCTTCCCAACATTTTCACTAATTGATTCACTGATTCCCTTCTCCATTAAGGATGCTCTTGCAGAGAGGAAGTGTGGGAGATGGTGGCTTTGTCCTCCGTCCCTTGGTCTCGGTGTGGGGAGGATTCTCTCTCTAACTGAGCACGGGAGGCAATGGGCTCAGGCCTGCGGTGGACACAGGCCACAGAGATGAGTGAGAGCAGAAGCAGATGAGGACCCAGATGTTTCACCAGGTGAGTTCAAGCAACCCAGGCTGACAGGCGCTGGGGTGGAAGGTGTGCAGCATGGAGCTGGGAGCACAGAGAGGGCTGGACCAGAGGGAGCAACGAGGAATCGTTTCTTTACTTTCTCCACTTTCAAACACATTAAAGTTTTCAAAAAATTTTCAAAGATTCCAAAAAAGGATGAAATTCTCTTAGCAATCCCTTACCACGCTTGTTCACAACCACCCAGTTTCCCTCTGTTGTTAACCCGTGTTCAAGTTTGAACGCTGAGTGCACTGTCTGCAGAGTATTATTTCCTCCTTTGACTGTGTGTTGAGGGAAAGGAGCGGAGCAGACGGAATCAAATATCAGGTGCTGGTCAGCAAAACGGCAGCCTAGAGAGCGCCCATGCCGACAGACAGACAGAAAGGAACTCAGGCTCCCAGTCCAAACTGAATCCCAACCATGGTCATGTGAGTAACACTGGAGCAAATCCCACCACAGCAGAGCCTCAGCTGAGGCCAAAGCCCCAACTCCATAGAGACCTTGAGGCAGACACCCAGCTAAGCCGTGCCTGGAGTCCAGGCCCACAGAAATTGTGAGCTATTAGATATGGTGCTTTATAAGAGCTAAGTTTTCGAGTAATGTTGCCAGAGAGGAGCAGATAGCTAACACAGTCCCCCAGGCCCCAGGACCCGGCCCTACCATCCATCCCATCTGCTGTTCGCTCTTCCCAGGCTCTCTCCAGCCACACTGGCCACCTTTCTAGCCTCCTCTGATCAAACTCACTTCTGCCTGTGAGTCTCTGCCCAGTGGTGCCTCCTCCCCGCCACGCTACTCCCAGACTTGGGCAGGGTTGGCTCCCTCTTCTCTTCCTGGCCCCAGGAGATGTCACCTCAGTGAGGCCTTTCAGACTCTCCCACCCAGTGACTGCCCAGCCCTCCCTCACACACTCTTCATTTTCGGGTTAGCACTTGTTCTTTTCTTTCACATGTCCCTGCTTTTGTGCATTTGTCCTTCTCTCACCCAGACTCTGAGCCCCCTCACAAGGGACCACTTGGTCATTTTCAGGCCTGGACTTGGGCCCCCCAGGGCCCCTGCTCAGGTGAGTGTCAGGGCATCGCTGCTGGTGAACAGATGGGAAGGTCTCGAGCCCCTCCTTCCTGACTCTGACCAGCTCATTCCCTAGAGACCATCACAGACAATAAGAGGCTCGTGTGGTTTCTGAGGCAGCGGCTTGGTCAGAATCTAAAATGTTTTGACTACAAATTACTTCTGGGTACCTGCATTAATTTCCTAGGGTCACTGTAACAAGTTGCCACAAACTTGGTGCCTAAAAAAACCATAAATGCCCTCTCCTCCAGCTCTGGAGGCAAGATTCTCAGATCCAGTTGTCGGCAGGGCCGTGATCCCTGCCGAGACTGCGGAGAGCATCCATTTCACGCCCCTGTAGCTTCTGGTGGCTGAAGCTCCTCAGCTTGTGGCCACATCCCTCCAACGTGTCTCTGTCCTCACGTCGCCCCCTCTTCTATGTCTGTCTTCTCTTGTGTGTGTCTTATAAGAACAGCTGTCACTGGATTGAGGGCCCACCTGGATCCTACAGGATGATCTCATCTCAAATCCGTAATTTAACTACAACTGCAAAGGCCCTTTTTCCAAATAAGGTAACAGTCACCAATTTCAGGGGTTAGGATGTGGACATATCTTTTGGGGACCACCGTGCAGCCCACTACAGTATTTGAATAATGTCTATGAAGTTTAGGGCTCATTTTATTACATTTCCCATATTTCCCTAATTCTTATCTGTTTTTCCTGTTATTTCTTTCATTAATAAAAACAAAAACAAAGAATGCATCCCTCTATGTCAGGCATCTGTTGTCACAATAACGAGCATAATAAACCCACTTCAAAACACAACTTGGGTAGAACAAAAAACCTGTTACTGACCATTTCTGCACTGTCTCGGGGGTAGCTGGCTGCTTGCGCTGGTCTCGGACGGGCTCTGCCGAGCTCTGTTGGGCTCACTCAGGTGTCCGCATTCAGCTGGCTTGTCAGCTGGGTGCTGGCTGGTCTGGAATGTCCTCTAGGGGGAGTGAGGCATCTCTCCTCCACATGGTTCCTGATCCCCCAACAGGCTACACAGACGTGTTCTCATGATCACGACAGAGGGGAAATCAATTCCACAGGCACACACAGCTTCTGAAGGCCTAGGGTCAGAACTGGCACACTGGCACATTTGCCCACTCTGTTGACCAAAGCAGCTCACAAGTCTAGGCCTGTTTCGAAGGGCTGAGTTGGCAGACGCTGCAAGTCACATGGCGAAGGGCACAGAAACCGAGGGATGTGAAATATTGGAGCCTCCGTGCCACCCAGCCACAGCAACTTCCTACACCCAACCAGGAATCTGCCACTTCTAACAGGGTTCATTGAAACTCTTCCAAATGTCATTTCAGTTAAGATAGAGGATTCAAACTTTATTAGCTTTTTAAATACATATTTTGCATCTCATTTGTGAATGGGTTTCTCCTCTAATTCAGCAAAAATATGTTTTAGTTTTCAGAACCTTGCTGTACTCACCTTACAAGGCTTGAACAGCTGTATAATGAGCATCTTATTACATTTAAATGATAAAGAAAAACTCAAGTTGCTCTGTAGTCAACATATTCCACATAATAGCCAAATTCCCAAAGAAAATGTAAACTATGTAAAATATTGAAATAGTCAACAGCATGAGGAACTGTGGTAGAAGCCTTTACTCCAATGAAAAAAAGGACATGCGCTGCACCTGACGTATTTTGTGACACTGTTGTGTCACAACGGTGCAGGATGAATCAGCACAGTGGAGAGTGGTCATCTTGCTACATCTGTTCTAAATAACTTAATACAGATGTGACTGCAAACCACAAAAATCAGTGCCATTCAGCCAAATTTAGTCATACCCTAAGTCAGCTTTGTCGTTCTCAAGCCTTCTGATACGAGAGAATATGGGATGTAGGGAAAGTTGAGAGTTGGAGACAGGAGTCAATTGCATTTAAAACTATTTCAACGTTACAAAAAAATCTCTGACCAGGTGAACAAACTGCTGGATTTTATCCCAAGGCCCTTAAGGAGTGCAAGCAAGTGTAGGAACCCTGATGGCTGAGCTTCATTAGCTTGATGGAAAATGCTTAAGATCATAGCTTTTATGGATTAATCTAGGATCAGAGTGGCAGCCGCTAAAGGGAATAGTTCCAAATTTGCTTGAAGCAGAGGACCGTCTCTGGACCTCACTGTCACATAGCTGCAACTGGCTGAAGGATCAATAATACAGATGATGATCCCTGGGAGTAAAGACCACACCCTCCCCAGGCTTTCATATGATTCCTGAAACAGGGTTTTATCTTCTCTCTCTCTTACTTTCGTGATATTTTAACAATTTTAATAACTGTATTCATTTAAGAATGTCTAAAGTTAGTTATGATTAGTCTCCTCCCAAGATATACAAGATGACGCATATAATTTATAGGTATTCACTTTGGTTCTTTTCCAAATCTGCCTGGTCCTTACTGAAAGAGTTTTTCTTTTTCTTATTTTCAATTCCTTCTTTTATCTGTTTAATCACTTACACATATTTTATAGTTTATTGATTTGTTTAGTGCTAGCTGTTGCTGCAAAAACGCAATCAGTCTCTGTGCCATATATTCCTTGCAAACAGAAATCAGATCAACAGGTATTTGGGGCTGAGTGGTCTTCCTTGTGCCTATTTGAGTATACATCTTGGATCCTCCTCCTCCAAACCCATACTGTTTCTCCATTCTGCAAGGTTGAGAATGGAGGATTGTATTTTGGAAGTTTTATCAAGTAGGCCTGAAAGTGACACATTCCATAGGCCAGAACTTGGTCATATGGCCATAGCCAACCATAAGGGAACTTGGAAATGTAATGACTCCATCTCTGAATCCGAGAGGAAGATGAAATACATTGAGAGAACAGCTAGCCAGTCTACACCACATAGTCTCCGTCCAATAATTCTATTCTGCTTTTCTTGACAGATTAATGATGCGATTTGTTTCTGTCTGCTGCTGACATCATGATAGCTTGCTTCCTCTTGTATTTTGTTATTTTAGATTAAAAGTTTCTATTTGGTGCGACTTTATCTCAGAAATCCTGTGTCGTCTGAGTTCCCAGACCTCATAAGTAAAGCAATACAAATATGAGCACAAAAATCCATGTGAATGGAAGCATGTGGTCATAAAATGTTAGGGGGAAAATTTTTTTTCTACCCTTTCCACAGCCAGAACTGAAGCAGACAATAGTTCTTTTCATTTCCTATTGAAGGTGGGCATTTTCTTTTGGTCCACATTTACACGGAGAGCAGAGATCCTTTGAAAGTCCAGGCTTCATGCTCAAATCTGTTTCTCAAATTCCCACATCCTATGTGACCATTAGCACTCAAGCCCTTTGATCACCACTATCAACAATTGCCACAAGCACGGCTGAAGCATCAGTGCTCCCTTTCAGCCCTAGTGTAGAACTTACACGTTGTCTTGTGGACGACTATCAGCCAAGCCTTCGGTCACCACTATACAGACGTGCCTCCTGGCACAGCAGCTGTGTCAGCTCTCACTTTCCACTCCAGCTGTCCATTCACTCTTTGTTTTTGGAGCCGAGGTGTTACACTTTCAATCATGAGCATTTCAGTATACCTTTACAATGGTGTTTGCAATATTCTAAGTGCTTTTGTCACGAGAGGATTTTCAAAGTCCCTTCTCTTCTATATTCCTGAAACAGAGTTTTATCTTCTCTCTCTGACTTTTGTGATATTTTAACAATTTTAATAACCGTAATTCATTTAAGAATGTCTAAAGTGAGTTATGATTAGTCTCCTCCCAAGGATATACAAGATGCTTATTATCTGTTACTTCCAGTTACTCCACTGCCTCCTGTCTTACACAATTTTCTTTTCCATAATTTTTTATATCTCCAGAACTTGGGTAAACCTTAATTGGACTTACCCATGTATCTAACAGATTCTTCGATCCCCATTGGATCTAGTATCCTATTCCTTCCTAGTGTGGAGACTTCCCTCCTCCTAAATGACACCCTTTGTAAGTTCTTTTATGAATGTCTATAAGTGGTAGACACCTCCTGCCTCGTGGTTTCTCTAGAAATGTCTATTTCATGCCTACTCTTAATGGTAGTTTACCTGGGGTTGGAATTGTAGAATGATAGTTAATTTTTCTGAGCACCATGAATATATAATATTATCTTTTGACATTTTATTGATGTCAACTTTAACGTCAAGCTTACTGTTTTTTGTAGTTATCCTGTCTTTTTTCCCCAGGTTGCTTGTAAGATCTCTCTGACTCTGAAATTTCCTTTAGACTATTTCTAGGTATAGATTTATTGTTATTTATCCTTTTGGGGGGGTAATTATACTTCTGGGATCTAACGATTTAAGATAAGTCTGGAATATTTTCAATCATTTTCACATCATATATTGCCTCCTTCCTCTCCTCAAAGACATTCCATTAGATATGTTAGACCATATAGTTTTATCCCACAAGCTCATTAAACCTTACATATTTTTTTTTCACTCTAATCTGCATTGTCTTTAGTCCTTTCTTCTGGTTAACTAATTCTATCTTCAGTTGTCTCTAAACTGTTATTTTACCCGTGTAAGGTGTTTTAAATTTTAATAAAACTTTTGTTTATAAAATTCTACTTTTTTATACCTACCCCTTCATGGGATCTTATTGTTCAGATTTCAAGATTGTGTCTTAATCATTTAAAATATGATTTTTACAGTTTATCATAACACTTTTATAAATTCTTAGCATTCTAAACCTACTTTCAGTTGATATTAATTACATCCAATCATGTTAGGTTTTTTCATAATGGGCCTTATAACTTGGTATCTTTAGCTCATAATTTGTCATGCTTTATCTATGGAAATACCGTGCAGCTTGTCAGAGTACAGAACCAAGAAACCAGAAGTCAAAGCCAAGCACCACGGGGAAAGCAAAACAAGAGCAAGAAAAAAACCCTCCAGAGAGTAGGGCTGAGCCCACAGCAGAGAACTGCCAGCATGCACCTGGGTGTACCTCAGAATTGCTGTGGATACACAGCATATGTATCCGACACTGTATCACTGTTACATAACATTTTTTTTGCCATCTTTTTAAGTGGGTAGATCAGTAGCAGTTATCCAATGCCTGTATCACCATAGATGCTGTGTATGTTTGGAAGAGGGGTGTGGCTAGAGGGGGCAGAAAACTTGCCTCTTTGCTTCACAGGTCTTCATATCAAGGGTAACTGTATCTGAAGAACTTAATCTGGCCTGGATCTGATTTAGATTATGAGATCCTGGGCCTTGAACCGGACCCAAATGCTGTAATGAAATACAATTTTTGAGGGGTCTTGGGAGAAGGTAAGTATGTTTTGCAAGTGAGAGGAATTTAAATAATTTGTAGCCAAAATGCAGACTGTGGTGTTTTTAAAATATGTCCATAAATCCTTTAACACTCTTCTCATTGAGGGCAGTTTCCGTGTCCCCTTCCTTCAAATCTCAGCTGATATAAGTAACTCACTTTTAACAAATAGAATATAGCAGATGTGATGCTGCAGGACTCCTGAAGCTATGTCATAAAAGGCAATGTTGATTCTGACTTGTTTGCAAAGACGCTTGCTTTTGGAACCTTGGGGCCACCATGCAGTGGAAATCCCAAGTCACACGGAGAGGCCAAATGCTGGTGCTCCTGTGAACCCTCACTGAGGACCCAGACTACAGCCAAAATCAACTCACAGACATGTGAAGACTCCTCTGATTGATTCCAGCCACCAGCCACGGAGTCACCCTGACCTGTCAAGTCTTCACGAGCCTGTGCCCCAGACACCATGCAACATGTAGAAGCTTCCTCCTATGCTTTTCCTGAATTCTAAACCCACAGAACCCATAAGTATATGGAAAGGTGGTTTTCAGCCAGTAGTTTTGTAAGAATTTGTTATCTAACAATAGAAACCCCAATATAGGATTTGTAAATTTATATTTATACTAGAAGCTAAAACTTCATAATGCTTTATCTTGAAACTGTTGTGTAGCCTGGGTGTAGAGTTTGTCTTGCTACAGAAATGCAATTAATTTAGAATATACTTTTATATTTATTTTTTGGCTAGACTTTTCCTAGGTACAGTTGTGGTGGACACTGAAGCCACACCAACTGGATGGCACACATTTAGTGACAAATTCTTAGAGGAATCCCAGCTGGAGTCCAAGAAAAAAACAAAGACTTGTCTGTCAACTCCCTGTGTTTGTGGGTTTATATTTCAGCCAAGTTTTTCATTGAGGGTTAGTTTTACTGTAGGGGTTTCATTTTGAAACACGGATCCTTCAGGGTCCCAGTACAGAGTTCCTCTTCCTGTAGGGATAGTAAAACCCAATCCTCTAGGTTCTAGAGAAGCTCCCCACCCATCCTCACATACCCATCAACTTAGGGAAGCGGTACACCAGCCTCAGCACTGGATGCTCATTGAGCTTGTTCTGAACTCCTTCTTCTTTGTGGAAAACGAGGCATTGTGCTTTCCTTTATATGACCTCAATTTTGCAGGTACAAGAATGCTTGATATAATTTGTCTTGCATATCCAGGCGTTTACAGTGGAAGGTTTTTCAGATTAGCTACTCATGCACAGTGCCATGCCTTATTTTATTTTTTGTTATGAACAAAAAATGGTGCCTTTAGAAAACATAGATAAGCATGTGGAGAAGATACAAAATTTTCATAAACCAGACGTCTATATATTACATTTTAAAGAGTTTGATCGATAGATTTTCAATCTTTTTTACTATGTATTTGTTCAAATAATGATATTTTAATTTTACCAAAATGAAGTAATATCAGACACAGTGTCTTCTAACTCTTTTTACTTAAAGATACTTCATGGCTATATTATCCATGTTATTAAACACAACATTTATTAAATACTCATAACTTTTATTGCCTCTATTTTGTACTATTGGATTACTTCAAATATTTTCTGTTAGTCTTCTAATTTTGGATGGTTATGTTTCAAATATTTCAAAATTAAAAGCAGATTTGTGATGATTATCTAAATATTTTCTGATGTGTGGTCTATGTTTTGGCTTATGGTACCTGCTTGATTTATCTCCAAGGGGAGGTGGTTTTGTATTTTAATTAGGCATGCATCTTCATTATGCACATCAATTCATATAGAACTATTTTAACCCACCACCGAACCTGATTGTCACGGTAGATGTGCTGCTTTAGTCAACTGGAAACAGAGTAGCTAAATCCCAGATACTCTGGAGTTGGACTGTCCAACACAGTAGCCATTAGCCACATTTGGCTATTGAACACTTGAAATGCAGATAGTCTGAATTGAGATATGCTGTAAAAGCCAGATTTTGAAAACTTAGTACAAAAAAAGAAGATCAAATATCTCATTACTAAGTGTACACTACGTACATATTGAAATGACAATACTTGGAAATATTGGGTTAACTAAAACAAATCATTAAAATTAATTTCACCCGTTTAGTCTTACTTTTATTTTTAGTGCTTAGGGGACTGCTGGAGGGCCAGATGGTGAATGGGAAGTTCCTTTTGATGGCGAAAGTACACAACTTTATTTCACGTGGAGACAAAGGTTGGGGTTACAAGCTGAACAGGTGAAATCCAGTCACATTCGTCTCTCCATCTGACGTTGGGAATGGATCCACAGAATGGAGATGATGGTTTCACCCAAGTATTTTCGCAATTAGGAGCTCCTTTATGAAATAAATGCATATCTAGCCAGGAAAATAGTCCATTTTTATTCTGGTCTCACGGATATGTCTAGAAGAAATTAATAGTAAAATGGTGTGTTCATACATTGTTGTAGACTTTCAAAATACATTTTTAAAAGAACAATTTAATGAAACACATTTATAGCACTTTTTCCATTCTTGAAACTTCCAAAAGTGACTTTTTTCAGATTGAAAACAAAAACGAATTTGCCTCAACTTTTGTTATATTGTTACTAATGAGATCAGAGTGAAAATTACGTCTTAAAAACATAGTAATAATATCTTAAACATAATAATAATCTTGAACATAATAAAGATAATATTAAACAGTTGTCTTAAATTTACCAAATAAATAGTTGTGCTATTATAAGAGAATACTATTCCTGTTGTTTCTCTGTCTCTTTCAGGATCATACATGTAACTTCAAAATTAAATCATCCCCTTTAATTTTCTCTTTTCCACTGCCCAATATTTTCTCACAGGACACAATGTGTTATTATCATCTACCCTAAGTCTATCCTATTGCATTAGTAAGGAAAACCAACTTAATAGCAGCAGCAACCGATCAACAAGTATATAAAAGCTACAGTGCCTGGCAGCACATTGTTAAACCCTCTGTCATGTGCATTATGGGTACATCAGCCCTTTATGTTCTCACAGAAACATCTTCATATCTACAAGTTTTTGCTACAACTATTTACTTCTGTTTTCTAGCGTAGTACCATTCAAACTGCAATACCTGTTTTCATTACATTTTCCAGAATGCCTAGGTACAGTTTTTGAAAGCACATTTTAAAAAATGTACATTGAAAACTTCTATTATGATCTTTTTTTGAAGTAGTGCACCTTTTCTAAAGTATTTTTAATTATTTTATATTTATAAAAATATATTTTGTAAATATCAAGTACCCTATAAAATATATGTATATTATGTTATTTAAATAGAACCTAGAATACTTGACATTCAACAAATATATACTGAATGAATAACTTTTTTGATGACGTTGGCAGTCCTTAGTGGTTGGCTAATCAATTTCCATCCCCAAGGATGTTCTGCCTCTCCCATCTACCAACTGTAGAGGCAGGCATAGTTAAGTCTCAGTGCGTCAGCCTCATTGCCCTTAGAGGGAATCAAATGACACAGCTATGGATAATAAGATGTATATGAAAGTCTGCAAGGGGTGGTCATGAGAAAACTTTTGCTTCCTTATGAACAGGGCAGCTATAGCTTGAACCATTCTCCCCGCTTCTTCCTGCCCTTTAAGGTTATTCTTACTGGAGCCATGGTGATCATCTTAGGGTCTTGGGGAGAGGCCATGAGAATTGCAGATACAGAAACTGCAAGATTATTGAACTGCTATGGCTATTACCGTCACTACCAATTCTTCTTAGGTGATAAAAAATAAGAAAAAAACTCTAATTTGTTTAAGCCATTGCTAGGCAGACTTTCCTTGATAATGACTATGATAAGAAATAATACAATGACCAAGATGAAAGTATTATTGAGAGCCAGGTTGTAGACATCACTCACACACAGTGACTGCACCAATTCTTTGTTTTATCGCATTGCCTCCTTTTCTCAGTCCTCTGATCTGAGCTTCCCTCAAAGGACAACACGGAGCCAATGACTGTGCGACTCCCACCGTCACAAGTGTTGTTTACTCTTATATATTGAGCAATGTGTGTAAGTTTCAACCACGTTATATAAAAACATGTGCAGCAGAGAATTAAATGTATTAGAATATTTAGACAAAAAATTTTGTTAATATAATTTGAGCATAGATTCTGTTCCCCTCAACTCAGATCCTTCAGATGGTGTGATCTTTATTTTTAGGAAAGAAATGACGGTTAAAGAAATTTCATCCAATGATTTAATGTTTCTGTCACTCATTTTTTGTCTCTACTAGTAGAAGAGAAATGCAATGAGAGAGGGAGCTTGAGTAATGTTCTAGTAACTATTAATGTTCATGATTTCAGTAATAATTATATCTTCATTTTTGTCAAGGTCTTTCTCATTTGTTTCTTTCAAAAGTATGACAGCTAAGATGTTGTTTGACATATATTTACAATATTTAAAATACAGTTTGTGGAAACTGACACTTTTTTTCTAAGTGCAGCTGCCAGATGAGGGGTTTCCCAAGAAAAGGATTTCCCAGACATCCTGTTTGTGCACATGTTGTAAAATACTCCTCTCCAGGTATTTTAGCAGATTCAGGAAACAGGTTTGCTACCACTAGCTTCACCATGTTGGGTGAGAGGTGCTTCATAAACCCCTGCATGGTCATTTTGATTTTATGGTTTCATTGAGAGAAAGTCATAAAACAGTCTCAACAATAAAAAGAATCCAAAACTAACATGCCTGTGCTTTACAAAGGCATATTTTCCATTACTTGAATACAAATAATATTTATTGAATACAAATTTATCGAACATGCACAAATTTACTGAATATGTCATAACCCTTTTTCGATTTCTGGATCATTAATACAAGGCAAGAACAATGAAAAGTGCCCACTGAAACCACATAGGAAATTGCCTGTGCAGAGTGGAGAAATATGAAATAATATTAACTATTAAAATAAGGTTATTTTATATTAAAATGCTAGTTGGGGAATATTTGTTATATAAACTATACCAATAAAATGATGATTTATTTTTTAGCCTTGAAGAAGATTTTAATTAATTAAATCTTCTCTTTTATAGTGAAGAGAAGTTTTGTGATAGATTAGTCATAGATGAAATAGTCAAGATACAAGTTTTTTTCTGCAACGTAAGCAATCCTAACTATATTAACAGTTACATTGTCTTCTGCTACCCAGCCAGATGTCTAATTAGAAAGATATGTAACTATCACGTATTCTGAATTGACGGTAAAATGTCTTCACACAGTTGGCTAGACTCACTTAGTGAATCTGCTATTACCCCCTAAGAAAAGTGTCTCTTAAAAATTTTATTCTGACATATTTCATACATAAAACAGGATAAGTATAACAGACAATTTACTATGGATACCTGTGAACACATCGAACAGCATAATAGAACATTACATAAAATTCCCATGACCTTATCGTCCCCTTTCCTTCTAAAATTTATTGTTTACCATTTCATTTCTTATCTTGATCATTTTAAATAAATAAAACATATTTATCTCACCTGTTGTTGATTTCTATTTGTATCATATAACACATACTTCTGTAGCGCTCAATGGCTGGTTTTAATATTATGTTCCCTACTGTGTCTCTAGTTATCTCTTCTTTTCATTCTAAACAAATGTCTCTGTTCCTTTTCCGGGTTTTTTTTGTCCTGATAACTCTTACCAGAGCTTCCTAAATTTTGTCCAGTTTTTCAGAGATGCAACTTCCAGTTTGTTGATTCTATCTATTTAACTTGTTGGTTTTAATTTGTTAATTCCTGTCCTCTTTATCATTTCATTTCTCATATTTTTTGCATATTTTATTCTATTTTGTTTGTGACATCTAAATCAGGATCCAAGGTAACTATTTTGGTCTTTTTTTCTTTTAAATATATGCATCAAGTGCTATAAGAGTTTTTGAAGACTTTTTGTTTTAGCCTGTACAATTTGATAGCATGTGTTTAAATATCATATATAGTCTCATGGTGTACATATTATAGGTGTGATATTTTTATTTAACACTTGAAAGATATTATTCCCCTCTCTTCTGCCATCTATGTTGTTGCTGAGAAGTCAACTACAAGTCTTAACTGATATTCTTTCACAGGCAATACTGATTTTTTCTCTGTATGCTATTAAGATGTCCTCCTTGACCTTGATGCCTTAAACTTTCTACACAATTGGTTTTGCTTAGGATGTGTTGGGCTTTATGAATCTGAGAATTCATGGGAATATCATGACATCCTGTTTGATGTCATATTCATTCAACAGTCTGTGTATTACTTCGGGCAGCTGCCTGGGCAGCTCAATAGCTGGACTTATCTGAAGGCTCCCTCCCTCACATGTGTGGCCCCTGCATGTGAAGACTTGACCATCTGGGGCCTGGAACAGCTGGGCTCCTTAGTTAGCTCTCCCAATATGTATGTGTTCTCTCTAGTCTACAAACTTCAGGGTACTCCTATTTCTTATATCTACCTTAGAGCCCCAAAGGCACTTGTCCAAAGAGGGAGAGCTACGTGGAATCTCTATTACGTTTTACAACCTCTCTTCAGAAGGCACATAGTATCATTTCTGACATGCTTTATGGCATGAACTTTAAGAGACATATCCAAGGTTAAGAGGAGGGGGCTTTGTGAGACGCAATGAGAGGACATGAGAAGAGATATATATTGGGGAGGCAGTATGTGGAAATTACAATCTGCTATAGGGTGCAAACCAATGATAACTTTTCAGAACTATTTCTTGGCTATAGTTTATTCTGGAGATTCAGAAACATGATTATGTACTCTGAACCCGCATGAGGGATACTTATGATTTCTCATTTTCAGGAGAGTCTCACTCCCAATTTAAGACCAACACACCAAAGTTTCCTTTGTGGGTTGGATTTGCTATTGTGATGGTAGTGGTGGTGAAGTTATCATGGCACTGAGCAGCACTCCTTCTTTAGGTGGGGTTGCCTGTTTTGCCTCCCCACACTAACTGGATCATATACTCAAGGCCTTCTACTCCATACTTCCATGACTTTTTTTTTTTTTAAGGTATACTGTTTGGTGAGGAAGACAGGCCCTGAGCTAACATCTGTGCTAATGTTCCTCTATTTTATATATGGGACTCTGGCCACAGCATGGCTTGATAAGCGGTGCACAGATCTGCACCCAGGATCCAAACCTGTGAACCCCAGGCCACCGAAGCAGAGCACACGAACCCCACGATTACACCACTGGGCCAGCCCCTTAAAAAATCTTTTTTAATGCATATCAACTCAGGTTTTTCTGTCTTGCACACAAACAGGCCACATATACTGAAAACAGGCTGAAGTTACACACCAGGAAAGGACTCACATATAGAGTGAAGCCTTCTTTCTTTTATACTTAGATTTTCAAGTGATGTGAACTCTTTAAGATAAAGCTACCATCTGCCATCTCACTCTCTCCCTCATTATTCTTGTAAATGACCAGCAGTATGCCAGTACCTCAGGGTCCAGCACTGTCACATAATTCAAGTGAACTTGAGTCTCCCTGCTACACAGTGCCTTTATGAAACAGAATGGATGGATCTTGTGGCACGTGCCTGTTTTGGCTGAGAATTATCTACACGATTATATTAAGAGCAGGATCCAGCTGTCTGTGATGAAGCCCATGCTCAAAAATAAGTACAATCAGGGCATTACACCTTCAGCAGACATCTGTTTTCATTCTTCCCTTTATCATTCTATCCCGATTTCCTTTCACCTCTAGGCCACCTGAGACAGCCACAATTAAGCAAGCCTGGTGTTTGCTGTCTCCTTTTCCATCGTTAACTGTTGCTAGGGGTAGCTTAGTGATTCTCCACGGAGGGGGTGGGGGAGAGGAACCGAAGGGCCCTCAAGAGTCCGTTCTGAGACTGGAAGGCTGTGGGCCTAGTGATCTACCTTTACCCGTCTAACTTCCTCCCTCATTTCCAGTTAAGAACTTTTCCCATTGAGGCAATACCCGCCTCTCCAAAAGGACAGCTGTGAAGTGAATCACAGGAAGAAGACCTCTGGCAACACAAATAAGTTGGGGCAGTAACTTACCTAGAGCTATGCCCCCCACACTCTGGCACAGAGAAAACGGCCCGCGGGTCTGTTTCCATACTTCATGACCCGATACAGAACAGGATGTGTTTAAATTTAAGGAAGTTCATTACATGCAAATAGGTTGAGGTCAAAGCTGTCCTCAGCCCAAGGCAACAACTCTGTCATCAAGGTATTAGAGCTGAAAGAGAGAGACTTTATAGGTCACTTCACTCAACTCTTGTATTATACAAAGATTAAGTGTCACTGCATTTTATACAGTTAAGAAAGGTGAAGTGATTTGTCTAATGGATCCTACTTCAAATGTCTTAGGAATAAGGGTGCAAAGCTTAAATACCCTAATGGAAAGTACTCGGAAAAACTGTCTTTGAAATAGATTAGATGTAACAAGTGAGGTCAGAATAGCTCAACAGCCTATTCCTTTTCTATTTTTTTTAAAAAGGACCCAAACTAGCAGTGCAGTTTAGTTACCTCTGGGAAGTGGCTCAGGGACAGGCAACAGTAAGAGAATTGGCCTTTTACTTTTTACACTTCAATATTACATAATTTCAAAACAAGCATGTACTACTTTTATATAGACAGGTTTTGGGGGACTTTTCCCAGCAGTGATTTAAAAATCAGACAATGTATTCTACTCCCCTACTCACTGTAATAGTCAACCAAAACATTCTCTTTGTACCTTGCTACTTCTCCTTGCATAGGGGAGGAAGACAATTCCTCCACCCTCTAGGTCCTTCTGGCTGATCTACGAATTAAATTGACATGAGACAGAATAACAGGAGAAAATCAAACAAAGCTTTATAACCTGCATACATGGGAGAAACCCAGGAAAACTGAGTAACTCGAGAGAATGGCCAAAGCTGCCACCTTAAATATCATTTTCAGCCAAAGACAAAGGAGTACGTTGGGCGCTGTGCAGTAGTTTGGGGCTTCAAAGGGAAGGCAAGCAATTTACATGGAGACGAAAATGTAAATGTTTGTTAAACAAGTGTTTGCTAGGCCTCTATAGACAATGGAACCCAAAGGAGACCTTCTGATCAAATGGGCTTAGCAAGGACCCTCACAGTCTACTGATACCCCAGAGCTATCTATGGTGATGGCCATCTCAAATTCTTTCAGGCAGTTAGGCAGAAGGGCAAAGTTTCTTTGGAAGTCTTTTGTTCTTAAAAATAATCAAGCCAAAGAGACACATTTTGAGGTGGCCAATTCTGATCCCCCACACTTGCAACCTCTCTCTCTTCCTTCATACACTACATTCAAATGTAACTTTTTAGATACCTAACATAGGAAGCGTAAGATGGCTTTATTGTTAAAATATTTAGGAAAAGCAGGCACAGAAAAAAGCAAACGACTCCTCAGATGATTTTTGTGCTTCGTCATCACTCTCCTTCCAAAACATTTTGCTTACCAAGATTGATGAATTAACCAACTTACTTTTATAACTTACTAAGCTTGTTACCACACAAAATTGGGGTTCTCTTGCCCAATGTGCACAAATGGCCAATTAATTATGACATCAGCCTTTGGGAAAAGACATCAACTTTATTCTGCGAGATTGACCTGCAGGGAGACGGGATGCGTGCCCTCAGATCTGTCTCCCCAGTTCATGATTTGGGGCAAAATTCAAGGTTAGGGAGAACAGGTTAGCACGTGGAAATGCTGGTGGGACAGGTTTTGATTGGCGGGCTTCAAGCATTTACAGTAAGCTTTTAAACATTTACAACAGGGTTCTAAACATTTAGGATGATGTTCTAAACTTTCATTACAGTGTTCTAAACGTTTTTGATGAGGTAGGGAAGGAAATTTAACACAGATCTTGCTGAGTGAGGGACCCCTTGCTTCTGATTTAAGAGTCCGATTTTCAAGTTCTTGTCGTGTCCCGGTCCTTGGGTGCCATGGGAAGAAGGATCTCTGGCTCCGCCCATCATTTCAGGTCAAGATTTCCTCTTCCATGCATTCTCTGGCTATGTGACTTTGCACGTTTTCTGAAAAGCAATTCTTAATCACTCTGTTGATAAGAGATGGGATGAGTTGAACTGGCCCTGGAGGGCCCACAGTTACAAACTCAGCATTCCAGAATGGTGGATATACTACTGAAACAAAGAATTAAAGGGTTCTCACCTTTTTCCAATGTCTATCTACTGTAAGTCAATTAAGCTCAGGTTGAAGTTTGGTTAATACCAAAATAGGGGTCAATCCCCCTGCTGGTTGTCCAATATACCCACTCTCTTATACACCTATCATAATTCACCTTTTTAGCTAAGAACATAAGCGGCCTAAGTAAAAATTTCAGGCCCCCTTGCAGAAAAAGGAGGACTGTATCCAAGTTCTGGCCAATGGGACATAAACATAAATTTTCTGGGGCAGCTTCTAGGAATTTTCCTTAGGAAAAGCTGGCTCCTCAGACATCTCTATTTAGATCATGAAGATGTGCATCTCTCTAGGGATGGGAGAGCTAAACAGGAAGAAGTCATGGGTTCTCAGACTTCACAGAACAGAGCCAGCAATCAGCCCTGCACTGATCTCAGTACCTCATCCATGAGAAAAAAATAAACTTTATCTCATTCAAGCCTCTATGACTTGGGGTTCCTATCAATGGAGCTAAAACTAACCCTAACACCCCAACTCTGTCACCTGGGTTCTCTGAAAAATAGAAACATGTCTTTAAACTTTTGCCTGTCATCTGAAATTCCTAGGTGACTATCATTGAAGATGGTCCTGCCAGTGATTCTTCTAAGTTCTGGGTATTAAGAAATGATTTAATAACAAGCCAAATTATAGAATCCTGGATACAAATTGAAGTAGACTCTTGGTACACAAATTACTTTAGAAATTGAATCTGAGGTCAACCGTATAGGAAGTCGATAAGCCAACAGAACAAAATACTGCACCATTTAGATTTTTAAATTTTTTATTTTAAGAAAATAAATAACGAGGGATCATTTTCTTTCTACTGTGGAAAAATTAGCATGAATTATTCAAGACTTAATTGCATCAAGCTTTCAAGATAAATTAAGCTTTCATATGGTTTAGATACAACATACCTTTCAAAAGCTGAACAAGCTTACTGACTGCTGAATCTTCACATTCACTGACTAATTTTCACACTACCAATTGTTTTTATGGCTTATATAATCACTGAACAATTTTTCTCAAAATCTTTTAAAACGACTGAAAGACAAAGGTCTCCAATATCTATGAAATAAGCAAAATTATATCAGTTAGAATTAGAACACTTACCTTCTTCAAGAAAATAGGTTAATGGCTTAATCACAGTCTACTCATATCAGCACTGAGAAAATGAATTCACTTGGAATTTTTGTTTCCAGTTTGCTAGCAAATATACTCCTTAGAAGCTGTTCACCAGTCTTAAACCTTAAACTCAGATCCCATGTCTTAATTACCTAGAGCTGAAGGCTTTCATCTTGACACCAGGTAGCAGAGATTCTTGAGGGTAATGATTAAGAGGGGCCACCAGCTCATTAGCAATTGCTGTAACTTTGACTGAGCAGGCCTATGAATCAATTCCATTCCACTTGCACATTCATTCAGATTTGTAACAATAGGACAAAACCGATGAAAAGATCATGAAAAAATCAACCAGAAATATTCTAAAACTTCTACTCTTCCTTTGGTAGAAAACCAGGAATTCTGTATCTTTAATTGAGAAAACCCACACACATCGTTCCTCTATGCAGTCCTTGCTTACTGCATTTTCATTTTAATTTTAGATAAAAATGCAAGAGAGATGATTACATGAAAAACTAACATGAACATCCAGAGAATTACAAATTAAGAAAATGCAAAGAGAAATACGTATGTTTCAGTCCCTTTTCCAGTCCTCTTTTACAACTCTGCTTTCTTGGAAGGGAATTCATGAGCTGTAATACTTGAGGACATTCTCCTCTGTAGGTTTCAGGATTTTCTTATCTGCCATATTCACCACCCATCCAGGAGCAAGACCAAAGAAAATCTGCCTTGGGTCCTTTCGAGTAGTAAGCATTTTGAAGAGTTCATCTTTAGTAACGTCAGGTAAAATATAACCATACTTCTGGGCGAGTTCAAGTCTTGCTTCAGGAAATTTGGCCGGATCCGCCAGGTCACCACGATTCTTTGCATCAGTATAATACGGCACCAGTGCTTCAGGTGGAAGCATTCGTTTTGGAATGGGTTGTCCACGCAGAAAGAATGGAACAGGTTTGCATAGAATTTCTAAAACAATTTTTAAATTAAAAAAGAGAAAGGCAAATGTTGACTATTTTATTTACATGATTTTCTTTTAATAATGGTATTTTATAATCATTAATTTTTAAATATGACCAAGATGAGAACTTAATTCCAAGAACTCTTTTAATTAAATAAGCTTGTTTTAAGTAAACAAATGGAAATGCTTAATTTTCAAAAGTTTGTATCTTGAAAGTCAGAGTTACTCCTGGGTTACCAACCATTAGTGAGTTTCTAGACATAGGTAACATTGTATTTAAGCCCTGTGTTCAAAAACAAAAACAAAACCTTTTTATGACCTACTGGCTGAGGTCTATCAGAGGACAGAGCCCCACCAGCCACAGCACTAATAAGAAATCCTGAAACAGAAAACAGAGGTGTCCAAACGGCAAGTCAAACAGCCATGAGGACTTTTACAATCCTCACATGCAGCCAGCATGAGACAAAGAGGGAGAGAAGAAAATGACTGCGGAGCAAGCTTACCCAGACTTCTGGGATCACAGAAGGCTGTAGTAACGACACCACCACTCTCTTCGATTGCAGCAATGGCTAGTTCCGAAGCCAACTGTACTTCAATATTAACTTTCGCCTTAAAGGTATCAGCACCCTGTAACACGTCAAAATAGTCTGTGAGTAGCTAGCTTGGCTAAAAGTAAATTAACTATGGCAAGCTTCCTTTTTACACTGTGTTTCCTCCTCCAAAATGCCCACAATGTAACAGCAATTCCTACTTCAAAGACTTCTGCTTCCAGGTCCTATCAAATAACATCAAATTCTTTTACATTTTCTAGGCCCCCTTCTTTTACCAATTTTCCTTCCCTGTGAGCAGAGATGACTATATTTTCACTTGATGTATTTCGTAGACACCAATATAAGCACCCATTCCCAGTACTTCGGTAATAGTTGGCTGTTTAACCCTCATAACAACCCTATGACAGCATTATTGCTAAACCAACTTCACAGATGGGGAAACTGAAGCACAGATAGGTTAAATAACTTGCCCAAAATCACAAAGCTAGGATTCTAACCCAGACAGTCCAGCCACAGTATGTGTTCTTAACCACAACATTATGCTGTAGGATACAGATCATGACTTATCTTCCTATCCCTTAACAAGCAAGAGGCCAAGAGAAGGTTAAAGAGGGGGACGAGTGGGCTAGAATCAGCGAAAGAATAAAATATCTGAGCTTTGGAGGGGTCACCCCCTCTAAGAAAAAAGGGAGCAAAGGACAACAGAAATTCACTTTGCATTCATTATTGACTTTACTACAGCCTCTAAACTGACAGAAAATAAGTTTACCTTTCCCTACCATGGTCAACACTGAAAAATGTAGTCCTGAACTTTTTTAAGTTCTACTTTTGATCACTTTAGTTAGGATGTGCTATATTTTAATTTCAAAACAGATTCTGACAAAAATAAAAAGATGGCATCATTACCATTCTTTTTGTAGTGATAAGAATTTTTTCCTATTTTGGTGTGGTTGAAACAAGCTGGCTCCCAATCAAGTTCCTTTTATTAATTATGAACCTTTAATATATTTAAAAAATATTCCATCAATTCTAAGATACACTTTTTCCATCTATGATACCGACCTGCATTTTAATAATTATGGTACGTTTGACTCAATAAAGTAAGGTCTTGCCATATTATTTGTGATTTTTTTTTTTCTGCTGAGGAAGATTCACCCTGAGCTAACATCTGTTGCCCGTCTTTCTCTATTTTGTCTGCGGGTTGCTGCCAGAGCATGGCCGTCGACGAGTGGTGTGGGTCTGTACCCAGGAACTGAACCCAGGCCACAGAAGGGGAGGGCGCCAAACTTAACCACTAGGCCACAGGGCCAGCCCCTATAATTTGTGATTTTTAATTACTATTCCATAGATTGCTTGACCACTCCCCATCCTTGGACATTGGGGTTAGTTTCAGTATTTTAAGTATTATAAAAGCATTTTTAGGAATGTCTTTCTATCAGTTAGGTTTATTTTGTTTTTCCTTGAAAACATGTCTTTCCAAATTGGTAATTTTATGCTGAAGGATCAGAAAGTCTTATTATCCACTATTTACTACAAATCTGAAATCAATTTACAGAGCTGTAAACGATGTGGAACTGTACTTACACAACCACTGCCCTGGTGTCGTTTTCAGGATTATTTTTGTTAGTTTAATAGACACATTCCTGTGAGTTGCTGGGATGCGCAGTTTAACAGCTGAAGAGGTCACGGATTTTTCCATGTCAATTTACATGTGCATTCCCTTATACACCCAGAGTAGGATACTGAGACTTAATCGCATATTTGGTAATCTATCTTCAAATCATCTTATTTGAAAATCCTTTATCCGTAAGGTTTACTTTTTCAAAGGAATCTAAAAGGTTTTTCCATAAACATATGCCTCCCTCTAGTGGACACTAAGTTACTCACACAGTTACATTACTGACAACAAGGAGGAGGAGCAGTTAATTAACAACACGTTTATTTGCTTATGAAATGCCTGGCCAATGTCTATAAATAGAAAAGTCCTTTACTGCGATTAGAATTGGATTTGATCCCTTTCTTCCATAAATACTGAGTTATTATCATGAGCCAATATTTCCAATATTGCAAACATAGGAATGAATCACAGTACCTGCTCTCAAAGAACTTACATCACACTGAGGAAGACAATGAAAAATAAATGCATTACTTAGTAATAAATGTCAGGTGTTCATATATTCAAAGAAAAAATACTTCGGGCAGAGTAATGCAGACAGAGTACGACTGTGGGGGAAGCGGGTGGGGGCTGAGTGTTCCTTTATAAAAGAAAATCAAAAAAGACCTTTCTGATATTATCAGATCTGAACAGAGAACCAAAGGGAGGGAGGGAACAAGCTGAACGGACACACGGGAGAAGAGCATTCCCGGACCATGGGAACAGAGGCCCCTCGACGTGATCATGCTGGCTTTCTAAAACCACAACTGAGTATAAACACAATCACCACTATGTAATGGTTATAACAATTCAAAAGGGATAAAAACAAAGGAGGCAGAGTATAGATTATATGAAAATCAGAAATAGCCTCCTATCTAACTCCAAAAATACTAATCCAGACTTACCTCCTCTACCAGCTGGACACCATAATCCCTTTTATATGGCTGGATGGTCACACCTCTCCCATTGACAAGCTGGGTTAAGTCAATAGGCTGAGTAGGATCAACTCGACCCAAATCACTAAGATACTGCAGCCTGTTGAGACTCAAAGGCTGATAGTGGCGTCCGAAGCTACAAAACAAGAAAGTAACAGTTGGAAAACTCAACTCTCTTCCTCTAAGTTCTCCAAATCAACTTAAAAGTTTTGTTCTCTATTTTCCTCCAACAATTTAGATGGTAACAAAATAAGACCCTCCTGACTACAACAGAAACGTTATACTGCTTGATTTTTGGTAACGAAACAAAACCAGTATTTCCTTTATTTTGCTAAAAATACTTTGCCTCTTAAGCATTTTACTTCACTCATTCACACAAATCAACAAACAAATTTGGGGAAAATTTAACCCACTATCTGAATTATGCATTAATGGAACTCAAAGTAACCATGGTAGTTGTCATTTATTGGGTAATCACAATGAGCCAGGTTTTTATATATATTATTGCTAAGCCTCTAAACAACCAGGAGAGCAGGCATCATTATCTCCATTTTGCAGTCTCAATGTCTGGGCTATTTTCCCTACTATTCCAAACTAATTGCACGACTAAAGATGCTTCAGAGGAACAGGGGCAAAAGTTTGCTTCAAAGTGACTATCAATTTCTACCAAGCTATTTTTTAGGTGATTCTCAGCGAAAAACAGGGCTTTCTACTTTAAAAAGCAAAGCAACCTACCTATGTCCTTCATTAAACCCGTATTTTGGGATTTGTATGTAAAATGGAGTCTGGCCTCCCTCAAAGCCCAGTCGGGGCCGGGTTCCTCTCTGTCGTTCTCCTTTATGGCCTCTGCCACATCTTCTACCTCTTCTCCGCCCCCTCGGTCGTCTTTCCTAAAGGAAAGAACAAAGTTTTATGATCTACAGATGCCTTTTTATAAACTGTATCTCATCTTTTCGTTGTATATTTTTTGTTACACCATTTATTCATCCAACCAACCAGTACTAGCTAACACTACCTTGTGCCAAGCACTGTCCTAGCTGCTCTAGCGTCCAAACACTCTAAATCAGCATCTTTGCCTCTGAAGATGTACCTAATTCTTGCAACCAAAGTGCAAGCTGTGTTTCAAAGGCAAACTTCCAAGGATGGGATGGGGATAAGGATTCTACAACAGGCTCGAACGGAAAAAAACCTAGAGTTAAACATCCACAACAAACAAAGCTTACATGATAGTTAAGAAATTTTATTTTGGAATTGTAAATATGTCATTGCTACCCATATATTATATTTAAAGATTAATTTATAAAGAAAACATTTTTCTTAATTTACTTCCTGTCACTTCACGAAGGCAACGAACTGATTTTCAAAATTACAGTACGTCACCTAACAGCTTTTCTGGCTGTATTTAGTGATTTGAAGAGACATCTAACGGAATAAATCAATTCAACTCTTTCCCATGAAGCTATACTGGAAAAGTCCTTCATTTTAATTCCAATTTTGAACGGGACAATCATTTTGCAGTGCGACTTCGCTCCTACGCCCTAGCATAATTATGCTTTTAAGCATAAACCGTATTACGAGTTGACACCACGCGAGAAGATTTTCCTCTGCAGTTAAGGAGAACAGGGACTCAGAAACCCTACCTCCATCCCAATACCCTCTGGAGTAAGCAGTCCCCGGAAAGCGCGGGCAGTGCAGGGCCGCTTCCATCGCCCCGTGCGCCAGCGCTTGCCCGCAACGCCACCAGCCACTTACCAGTTTCCTGGAGCCCGGATTCGGCTTTAAGTTGGCCAGGCTAACCCGGGGCAGGGTCCGGAGCAGGTCCAGAGCCCTGGACCCACTGCCCTGCACCGAACCTGCCATGACCCCCCAGGAAGAGCCTCCAAGGGCACCGGGCCGCGTCGGAGCCCACGTGGTCTGGGGCGCTGCTTTACGGCTGCGGCCCCGCCCCTGTCGCAGTGCCGCGAGCGCGCCAGCGCCCTGGAATCCGGCAGCGGCTTCGGAAGCTTTAGAAGACTGACATGTCGGTGTTGCTCTGCCTTTTTTTTTTTTTTTGTAAATTCGCTGCGGATGTCTTCATGGTTTGAGAGATCGTGGCTTGAGCCCGGGCTTGAACGTCCGGTGTTCTCTTCCGCCACAGCAAACGCGCACTGCAAACGCTGCGGTCTGCGGTCCTCAAGAGGCAGCGTCTTCTCTGACCGCGCCGTGGAGAATGAGATAACCTGAGCGCAGAATTACTAATTTTGAATTTGGCTAATCAAACACAGTGAGATTAAACAATACTCAGAGTCCAGCTAGTAAAATGCCTGGCTAATACTAACCTGTGTAATGAAATTCAACCTACGCATTCCCATCAGTGTGCTTCTACGTGTACTGCATTGACCCACCGAGTCGCTGAGATACGAACTTCACTGAGCTGCTGCTCGTGATGACAGGTGCCATAGGAGCGCTTGGCACGTGTCATCGCTGTGTTGTCAGCCTTATTCGATCAATAGCTTGTGGAGGTAGATGTTACTACCTTTTACGGACCGGGACGGTAAGGGTTGGCAAGGTCGGGTAGCTTGACCAAGGTCTCACAACAAGCGGCAGAGCCAGGACTCACACTTACACTGCCTCCTAGTAGAACAGTAGTGTTTCCTAGGATATAAAATTGAATATCTGCAGCATAGAACACATAACATTATTTTCAAGCTAAAAAATAGCTTCCCTATTTTTGTCTTAAGTGAATGTGGTATAGAAAACAAGGTTCCTTTCTTTTTCTCTCTTATTCTTTTTATATTTCACTTGTCTCGCTGGGGAGTTGTTCTTTCTGGTTCCTCTTAGTGATCACAAATAGTGAAGGAGAGAAATTTTTGGAGGGGAGCTACTTCTATGTTTAATTAAACCCTTTTCAACTTATTTTAAAACAAGTATAAAATACTACAGAAAGAAAAATTTGCATTCATGCTTTATTTAAGCAATATTTATGAGCAAGACACTGAAACCTGTTACTGAAAAATATACGTGGATGAAGTCAAACAAGATCTCGCTCCCACGTTGTTTGAAATCTAGTAGGACAGACTTTCCCAAATTGAGTATTTTATAAAAGTTAAAAAAAAAAGTACGTCTCTTGTGGACCTAATAATGCAAATTCAAGAAAAATACAGATATATGAGTTCTATAAAACAATGTGAAGATAAAGTCCAGACTCTATTTAGAAGTACAAAAGAAAATACTGAAAAAAAATAAGCTAGTTCCTGCCTTTAAGAGGTTTCACTTCAATATATTTCATAATCTTTTCTTTAGAATTTTCATACTTCTGAGAGGAAAATTACAAAATATGTTGCAAAATGTGCCCTCATCTACAGAAATATATACAATTTTTTTCTCTACCTAGAAAATCGTTTGCATTAAGTAATGAACTTTTGGATGAGTGTTAACACCAATAATGTTTCTCATGGAAAAAATGTGTATTGAATAAATGAGATACAGGAAATAAAAAACAATGTGCTGCATTTCTTGCAAGTAGATGCTCTTTGTTGTGTAGGTTATATAATGTTATTGGTGAACATCCGTTAATAATAGTGGAAATAATTGTTTGTAGTTAATTGTAGGCCGTTTGTTTATCCCATATCCAACATGTTGATGAAGCATATAAAACTGTCAAAATAATTTAATGAGTTTCATCTGTGTTTTAAGAATGTAGTTTAAGGTGTGTGGTGAATAAGTCATCAACCCTTACCTGAAGCCTATAGTTTTACATCATCATTATCATTGCATGATAATACTTATTAAGCACCCACCTGCTTGGGGTGTTGTGCTATACTCTGTTTAAATGATGTTAATGAGACCTTGCCATAAGAAAACATCTCAACAAGAGATTTAAAGTCCATCCTAATTCCAGTCCCAGTTGATAGTGACTACTGAATCATTATGTAAAAAGAATAAAACAAGCCCTGTAAAGATGGTGTAATTTGAAGTTCCTTGGGAAGGCCTCTTTCTCACACACTCCCAAATAATTTTCCCCTACCTATCCCAGTGCCTTAACAGTCTGCCAACAGAGATGAATTCTTTTGAGCTCATTATTTAGAGTTAAAATTCTCAAGGTGGGTAGAGAATGAGAGAGGGGGATGAAAATAAAAGGGGATAAATTTATCAGATGAGGTACTTTGTATGAACCATAGTAATAATACACCGTGAAGTGAAGCATCTGATCAATTTAACCCTCTGTTTCTGAGATTAAAAAACAACAAAAACATGCATATAAAACTCTCCCATCTAATCTCCCTAAATGAGATCACACATTAAATAATATTTGGCAGGGATGGGAACAGGAGGAGGAAGGGAATTTCAGTTATTAGATTATTACTGATTTTTACCATGAGCCAAAAACAAATCATTTTTAGAATGAGACCAAGAATAGACTCATTTTGTAATGATCAAAGTTGAGGAGCAGAAAACAACCAGAGATGTGCTTTTCCTCAGTGAAGGTGGGAGGAAGCCAGGGGCAGGAGGGCAGTGAATCCCTTTGATACTGGGAGAAAACCAATTCCGAGAGAGCTAATCAGAGGGCACGGGAAGGGGCTGGAAATAAATGTCACCTCGACAAAACCTACCCAGTTGTATCAAAGCTTGGCCCTGACTTCAAGGCCTTCATTCACAGCTAAATAGTTTCTGTTTTAATTTTATTAAAGTATACTAACGCATACATTTGTTATGAAAAAAATCAAGTCATACAAAATAATAATGAGGAACAAAAGTTCTCCACAGGCAATTACTTTTCACTTTGTTTTTTATTTCTTCCGGTGACTGCCTCCATATTTATAAATTAAAGGATCTCAATCACTAATTGTTTTATCAATTTTTGACATTGTGGATTCACTTATCTTATGACAGGTGAGGATTTAGATAATTTAAACTATTTCCTCTTAGTATTTTAGTTATTTTATGATAAACCGTATAATTTAAATAAGGTAAGTACTTCAAACATCTGTTTTTTTGGATTTTCAACTTTCAAAATTATACATTAGCTCCTCACTCTGTGCGAGATGAAGATACTTACACACCTAACCTCTCACACTTCTTTGCTCCTTCTACTTGCCAACTTCTGTTAGCTATATATTTTCTTTAACATTGTTATAGATTATAATGTACTTATACACTTTAAGTGATCATTTAGGGTAAATAAGAAGCTACAACAATCACTGTATTTGCTCTCTCTAGAACACTTTTCATTATTGCCCTCTTTCCTGGCCACAAAGAACTGGCTTTCAGGTTGACAAGCTTTCTTTAAATTCCTGATCACAAACCTTAAGCTGGTCATCCTTTTCCAGGGTTTTAGAAAACTTACTTTTTCGCTCTCCGCGATGACTATTTTGTATGTTCTCTCTTGGCCAATGATTTTCCTTTACACTTCAGAAAAAAGTCACGAGATAGGGAATTTCTCCCACATCCCACCACTAAATGTACAATCCTTCCTACAACTGCATTTATCTTCTGCATCATATTAAAGAGAAGGAAGTGGCTTTTCTTCTGTTAATCTTCAGTCTTTCCAGCTGTGATCTGGACTCCTATGTCTGCTACCCACTTAGGGGTTTAGTTGTTTTCCTTATCCCCTCTCTTTACTGCATCATCAATCTCTCCTCAGGCTGGATGGTCTCTTCATCATAAAAAATGTTGTAATATCGCTCATCTTAAAAAAACAAAGACAAAACACCACTTTTCTTTACCCCGTAATCCCTCTAGCTGAGCCTATTTCTCTGCTTGCTTTCATAGCAAAACTTCTTGAAAGAGTTCTACGTGGACTCTCTTTTCCTCCTCTTTGATTCATACGTTTTCCTATGAATAACCTCCATATTGCCAAATCTGATAAGAAATGCAAATCAAAATCACAATTGAGATATCACCTCACAAATGTTAGGATGACTATTACCAAAAAACAAAAAATGGCAAGTGTTGGCAAGGATGTGGAGAAATTGGAACCCTTGTACACTGTCGATGGGAATGTAAAATGGTGCAGCCACTATGGAAAACAGTATGGAGGTTCCTCAAAAAATTAAAAGTAGGGGCTGGCCCAGTGGTGTAGTGGTTAAGTTCAGCTCTCTCCGCTTCTGCAGCCCAGGTTTGCAGGTTCAGATCCCGGGTGCAGACATACACCGCTTGTCAAGCCATGCTGTGGTAGCAACCCACATATAAAATAGAGGGAGATTGGCACAGACGTTAGTTCAAGGCCACTCTTCCTCAAGCACAAAGGGGAAGATTGGCAGCAGATGTTAGCTTAGGGCCAGTCTTCCTCAAAAAAAAGAAAAATTAAAAATAGAGGCTGGCCTGGTGGTATAGTGGCGAAGTTCATTCGCTCCACTTTGGCGGCTGGGGTTTCATGGGTTCAGATCCCAGGTGTGGGCCGACACACCATTCATCAAGCCACTCTGTGGTGGCATCCCACGTACAAAAAATAGAGGAAGACTGGGGCCAACCCGATGGCATAGTGGTTAAGTTCGTGTGCTCCACTTTGGCGACCTGGGGTTCGGAGGTTCAGATCCTGGGCATGGACCTAGCGCCATTCGTCAAGCCACACTGTGAAAGCATCCCACATACAGTAGAGGAAGATTAGCACAGATGTTAGCTCAGCGACAATCTTCCTCAAGCAAAAAGAGGAAGATTGGCAACAGGTGTGTTAGCTCAGGGTCAATCTTCCTCACCAAAAAAAACCACATTAAAATAGACTACCACATGATCCTGCAATTCTACTCCTGGGTATATATGCAAAGACTTGAAATTAGGATTGTGAAGAGATATCTACACTCCCACATTTATTGCAGCATTATTCACAATAGTCAAGATATAGAAACAACTCAAATGTCCATCAATAGTCAAGTGGATAAAGAAAATGAGGAAAATGCGAGATAGACACACAATTAAACATTATTCAAACTTAAAAATTAAGGAAATACTACCATTTGTAAAAGCATAGATGGACCCGGAAGATATTATGCTAACTGAATACCATTCACAATCGCAACAAAAAGAATAAAATACCTCGGGGTAAATTTAACCAAGGAAGTGAAGGACCTATATAATGAAAATTGCAAGGCCTTTCTGAGAGAATTGGATGACGACATAAGGAGATGGAAAGACATTCCATGTACATGGATTGGAAGAATAAACATAGTTAAAATGTCCGTTCTACCTAAAGCAATCTACAGATTCAACGCTATCTCATCAGAATCCCAATGACATTCTTTACAGAATTAGAACAAAGAATCCTAAAATTTATATGGGGCCACAAAAGACCCCGAATTGCTAAAGCAATCCTGAGAGAAAAGAACAAAACGGGAGGCATCACAATCCCTGACTTCAAAACTTACTACAAAGCTACAGTAATCAAAACAGCATGGTACTGGTACAAAAACAGGTGAACAGATCAATGGAATAGAATTGAAAGCCCAGAAATAAAACCACACATCTATGGACAGCTTACCTTCGACAAAGGAGCTGAGTGCATACAATGGAGAAAAGAAAGTCTTTTCAAAAAATGGTGCTGGGAAAACTGGAAAGCCACATGTAAAAGAATGAAAACTGACCATTCTTTATCACCATTCACTAAAATAAACTCAAAATGGATCAAAGACCTAAAGGTGAGACCTGAAACCATAAGGCTTCTAGAAGAAAACGTAGGCAGTACACTCTTTGACATCAGTATTAAAAGGATCTTTTCAGACACCATGTCTTCTCAGAGAAGGGAAACAATAGAAAGAGTAAACAAATGGGACTTCATCAGACTAAAGAGCTTCTTCAAGGCACATGAAAACAGGATTGAAACAAAAAAACAACCCACTAACTGGGAAAAAATATTTGCAAGTCATATATCTGACAAAGGCTTAATATCCATAATATATAAGGAACTCTCACAACTCAACAACAAAAAATCAAACAACCCAATCAAAAAATGGGCTGGAGACATGAACAGACATTTCTCCAAAGAAGATATACAGATGGCTAATAGGCACATGAAAAGACACTCATCATCGCTGATCATCAGGGAAATGCAAATCAAAACTACACTAAGATATCACCTTACACCCATTAGAATGACAAAAATATCTAAATCTAATAGTAACAAATGTTGGAGAGGTTGTGGAGAGAATGGAACACTCATACACTGCTTGCGGGAATGCAAACTACTGCAGCCACTATGGAAAACAGTATGGAGATTCCTCATAAAATTAAAAATAGAACTACCATATGATCCAGCCATTCCACTACTGGGTATCTATCCAAAGAGCTTGAAGTCAGCAATCCCAAAAGTCCTATGCACCCCAATGTTCACTGCAGCATTATTTACAATAGCCAAGACATGGAAGCAACCTAAGTGCCCATCGACAGATGAATGGATAAAGAAGTTGTGGTATATATATACAATGGAATACTACTCAGCTGAAAAACAGAACAAAATCATCCCATTTGCAACAACGTGGATGGACCTTAAGGGAATTATGTTAAGTGAAATAAGCCAGTTAGAGAAGGAGAATCTCTGTATGACTCCACTCATAGGAGGAATTTAAAAATGTGGACAAAGAGAACAGATTAGTGGCTACCAGGGGAAAGGGGGGGTGGGGGGCGGGCACAAAGGGTGAAATGGTGCACCTACAACACGAATGACAAACATTAATGTACAACTGAAATCACACAAGATTGTAACCTATCATTAACTCAATAAAAAAAAAGATATTATGCTAACTGAAACAAGTCAGTCACAGAATGACAAATATAGCATGATTTCTCCTATAGGAGGTATCTAAAATAGTCAAACTTAGACAAGCAGAAAATAGATTGGTGGTTGCCAGGGGACGGGAGTGGGGAAAATGGAGAGTTGTTGTTCAGCATCAAGTTTTAGTTATGCAGGATACATAAGTTCTAGAGATCTACAACATTATAAACTTAAGAGGATAAGTCTTATGTTAAATGTTCTTCCCACACACACACACAAAAGCAAAGGGACGTAAGAAATCTTTTGGAGGTGATGGATATATTTATTACCAGGATTGTGGTGATGGTATCATGGGTGTAAGCATATTGTCCAAATTCATCACAATGTATACATTAACTATGTATATTTTTTTAATGTTAATTATACCTCAATAAAGCTGAAAAAAATATAAATTCTCTGTTCTCTTAAATGAGTTCTTAGCAGCATTCAAAGCAGTTGAGCACTTGCTCCTTGAAATACTTTTCTTGTTGGGTTTCTGGATAGCCCATGCTTCTCTCACTTTTAGTGGCTCCTCATATACTATCTAACCCCTAAATGTTGAAATCTATTTTTCCTATGCAGGTGATGGGGTTCAGGGCATGCCTCCCCCCGCCCCCCGCAAGATGCACCACTCTGGTATGTGGATTATTTCAAGCTGAAGAAAATAAATGCTCAGAAGACTCAGGAAGAACATTCCACCTTCTCCCCAACTGCCTAAAAGAAATTTAAAATAAAGGCCAGTCCCCAGGACAAGCCATCACCTTAGATAACTCTGGGTATCTGGTAGACTGGGAGGATCCTTGCTAAGCCCATTCTTATCAAAGTTCTATTTACCAAACATTTGCTTTTCCATTTCCAGGAGTTGCCTTCCTCCCCTTTGAAGCTCCAGATCACTACCCCCAACATCCTCCTTTCCTGTAGCTGAAGAAATTTAAACAGGCAGCCTCAGCCAGATGACTGAGTTACTGTTTCTCCTGAGTTTCTCCCATGTATACATGCTATTAAACTTTGTTTGATTTTTCTCCTGCTAACCTGCCTTTTAAATTATTTGACCAGCCATAAGAACCTTAAGGAAAAGGGGGGTGGAATTCTCCCACTTCCCCAACACAGGTGATCTTAAATGGTTTATAAATTCTCAGGTTTATATCTGCATCCCAAATCTGAGTTCAACTTGTTTGTATTGACAAATAAAAATGGCAAGCAATAGGATATATTGGAGAATATGAGGAAGCCATTTGGTGTAAACCTAATTCGGCCTGACCTTGTCTTTCCAAAAGGGCCTGACCGTGGCTGTTGAGCATGCATTGTATATCTGCTTTAGATATTCCCTATGGCAAGAACAAAGGCCCTTGAGATAAAGGTGCAACTTCCCTCCCTCTCCCAAAGTTGGCATCTCCTTAAGGCTTAAGCCTCTTTCCTTAGGCTAGAAACTGATTGCTGTGCTCACCTGTGACTGCCCAACTCGAGACAATAGACTTGCCTCCTGCTACGCCCTCTGAGATAGCAGACCTACTACCTGCTGTGTCCATCAAGTGCTGTGCTGACAGGGCAATCTTGTGACTATTGTGGGAGGGACATTTCAATCATATGTGAAACGTCCTGCTTGGGGGTATATAACCACTCTGTACATCTCACTTCTTTGGTGCCCTTTCTTCCTGTGGGAAGAAAGGCCCCGGGCCATGGTCCTCAGATTTCAGCTCAGAACAAATTCACCCATATTTTCGTTTATAGATTGGTTATGGATTATTTTCATGGACAGTATCTAGCTGTTTAATTGATATCTTGACTAGGATGTCTTCATAACATAGTCAGAAGGAAATTCTAGATATCCAACTCTCTGCCACAGTCCCCCCAAAGTGCTCTTCCCTTATATTCCCCATCTCATTAAATGGCACCTCCATTTATCTAGTTATTAAAGCCAGCAACCTAAGAGTCTTCTTGATGCTTCTCTTCCCTAATTCCCACATAAACAAGACCTATCTTTTTGATCTACAAACACCATACTTGTTCAACCCCCCTTTATCTTGCCTAGAACAATGCTAGAGTTTACTGACTGATCTACTTTCACTTCCACTGTTGCCCACTTCCAGTCCATTCTCCAAAAGTAGTCAGAGTCTCATTACCCTTCAGTGACTTCACATTGCACTTACCATGGCCTGTAAAAATTAGGCTAATCTGATTCTTTCATGTCTCTCTATCCTCAAAGTGCTGGGAATACTGCAGTGAATGAAACAGGCAAGTCTTCTATTCTCATGGAGTAATCTGGGGGCTTTTTTTGGCAGGGGGTGGGGAATAGAATAAAGAAGTGCAGATAAATAAAACCATTTCTGAAAGTAAAGAGTACTATGAAGACAATTAAACAGGGGATTGTGTTAGACAGCAACTGATATTTGCGGTGGGTTTTAGACTGCGTGGTCAAGGATTGCCTCTCTGAAGGGACATTTGAACTGAATGATACAAAGGAATTTTTAGCACTTTCTCAGCAAAGGTTTATTTCTTGATTGTATCATAATCTCATCAAGGATCATCTGGGAACTCTAGTTTTTATCTAATTCCAGGACCCAGGCTGAGAGAGCAGCCACCAAACTGAAACTTGCAGGTTGCTGTGACAAAAGGAAGTAAGATTCTGAAGGGCCTCACACCAGCAATGAAAAGCTCTAGTCTGTAAGTGACACAGATTTCTTCCACCTATACTTTATTAACCAGAACTATTCACATGACCCCACCCAAACCAAGAATCTGGGAATCGCAGTCCTACCATGTCCTGGAAGGCAGAGAATCAGAAATATTCGGAAAACATAATTAACTACTACTATAGTCCTTCATGTTCACAGGGGAAAATATAAAGGAGGGAAAGTCATAGATACATGCATGGTAGTGGCAGGAGTTCTCCTACAACTGTGCAAGGCCATTAGAATTGCTAGTTCTGGTTCCTCTGGGAGGCATATGGTAGAAACAGAAGACAGTTTGGTGAAGCTTTCCGAGTCTTGCTGCTATCTGATCCCTCTAATACTGAGGAAATGGTTTCTTACTGTTTTGCAGACCTGGAAGAATGAATCCACAGAATGTGACCTCATTGTCCCTACTCAGGATTCTAGTTTGCTCACTTCAGTCAAGGTGCCTTAAACTTTTCTAAAAGTCAAGAACAGTCTGGAAATACATATATTCTCCATATCAACTTCTCAGAGCAAAAATCAAAGAAATGGGCACAAGACCGGCTCAATGTTTTTTATGAATGATTGATAATATTAATTTGAAGACTATTTCTTACATATTATACATCCATTTGTAGAGGGAGTAAAAGGTTCAATCAAGGTTATAGACACCACTAAGACATACCTGCTTTTTCTTCTAGCATTTTCAGTTTGTCTTTTTAAAAAACTTAATCCTTTGTTCTGTTTGAAATCTTTCAATTGTGAAATATTTCAGGACTGATATTAAATGTGACTAACACTAAGCCAAATACCTATGTGCCCAATACCCAGCTTATGAAATAAAATATTATAAAAATAGTCATAGGTCTTGTTTTTGCACGCTTTTTGGTGAGGAAGATTGGCCCTGAGCTAACATCTGTTGCCAACCTTCCTCTTTTTTGTCTCCCAAAAGCCCCAGTACATAGTTCTATATCCTAGTTATAAGTCATTCTAGTTCTTCTATGTGGGAGGCTGCCACAGCATGGCTTGATGAGCGGTGTGTAGGTCTATGCCCAGGATCCGAACCAGCGAACCCCAGGCCGTGGAAGTGGAGAGCATGAACTTAACCACTCGGCCATGGGGATGGCCCCCTATAGGTCTCTTTTTATACCTAATCACATTCCTCTTTCTCCCAGCTTCCCCAGAAGTAACCACTATTCTGAATTTAGAATTTATCCTTCTTGTGCTTTTCTTTGTACTTTTACTACATCTGTATGTATCTGTTATCAATATGTAGTATTTTTGAGATTTGGGGTTCTAGCAATGATGGGGTAAACACAACTGGATTAAAAAGAAAACAACAAGACTTATCCTCCCACCACACACAACTAAGAAACCGGACAAAACATACAGTGGTTTCCAGATATTAGACAACAGTCAGTGAAAGATAATGATCTCTGAGAGAAATGAAACAAAAGATGTGAGCCATATTATTGCCCCAGCTTACAGCCTGGAGAGAATTTTTAGGCTATGTGCAGGCAGGAAGTACCCAAACGGAGCCTGCTGGTTCCAGGAGCTAAAGATACAGAGCTCATACAAGGAAATCTTATGAGCATTTATGGGATGAAGTATGAGAGAAGACAGATCTGCGCAGGAAGAGCTCCAAATGAGTACTGATCAATGCAGGTGTGTGAGGAAACTACTCAAGGCCAGTGAAAGACCATGAGAAAGATTCAAGCTAGCCATCCCAGAACTCACACAGGGCTGGTAATACTCTATATTCCCACTAGCCAAATAAAAAAAACCTCCTAATACAAGGACATTCTCAAGAGGGTATCACATCAGTGTTGGGACCAAATTAGTCCTATACTAAAAGTTGTACTGGATCCACCTAACAAAGCAAGAAAGCAAGCCTCAAAATGGCAGAGTTGATTACAAATGGCTTAACTGAATCTCAAAACAAAGCCTGAAAATATTTTAGAAAAAAAATACAGAAACTCCAACAACTAAGAAAATAAAATTCACACTATGTGGCACTTGACAAAAAAAAATTACCAGATATGCAAGAGACAGGAAAATAAGACCTAAAATGAAAAGAAAAATCAATCAATATGAACAGACCCAGAGATGACAGAAATAGTTGGCAAGAATGTTTAAACACTTAGTATAAATATAGTTCATATGTTCAAAAAGGATGAAAGATGAGCATTTTAAGGAGATATGGAAGATGTAAAAGAAATCTATTCCTCAGCAATATGAATTTACTTAACACTACTGAATTGTGCTACACTCATAAATGGTTAAGATGGTATATTTTATATTTTTAGCATGGTAAAAGAACCTTTGTTAATCTAAAAGGAAACAAAACAAACCACAAATAAACATCTAGAAGTGAAAATACAATGTCTGAGAAGAAAAACAGTATGGTTAAAATTATCAACAGGTTAGACACTGTAGAAGAAGATTAATGAACTTAAAGACAACAGAAATCATCTAAAATGAGAGAGAGGAAAGATTGGAAAAAAACAAATATCAGTGAGCTATAGAAAAACATCATGTGCCCTAATACAGATATAACTGCACTCCCAAAAAGGAGGAGACGGATAGGACTGAAAATTTTGAAGGACTTACGGATGAAATTTTTCCAAATTTAATGAAAACCATAAACTCATATTTCCAAGAAGCTCAATGAACCCCAAGCAGAAGAAACAAAGAAAACTACACCAATGCACATCATAATCGTATTGCTTAAAATCAGTGATAAGGAAAAAACTTAAAAGCAGCCCAAAAAAAGACACGTGTACAGAAGAAAAATGAGAATTACAGCAGACTTCTCACTGGATTGAATGAAAGCCAGAAGACAACGGAGCAACACCTTTAAAGAGCTGAAAGAAAAATAATGGTTGCCCAGAATTCTATATACAGTAAACATACATTTCAGAAATGAAAATGAAATAAATACTATTTCAGACATATCAAAGCTAAAATTCATCACCAGCAGCCCAGCATTATAATACATATTAAAGAAAATCCTCCAGACAGAAGGAAAATGACACCAACTATAATTCTGGATATACACAAGGAAATAAAGAGCACTGGAAACGCAAAGTTTGTGAGTAAATACAAAATACACTTTTCCCTAATTTTTAAACATCTTTAAAACATTACTGACCGGTTAAAACAAAAATGTAACAATGCATGTGGGGTTACTAATATATGTAGAAATAAAATGTATATCCACAATAACCTAAAATCTAGGAAAGGTGAAATGAAAGTAAACTATTGTAATGAGCTTATACTATACATGAAGGATAATAATATGATCAGAAGGTAGAGCGTAATAAGTGGAAGATGTCTAATATAAACCCTAAAACAACTTATAAAATAAAGAAAACAAAGAGTACAGATAACATGAAAAGAATATTGACTTATTCCTAACAAGTCAATAAAGGAGATTAAATGGAATTAGAAAATGTAAAATTTTCTGCCTTCTAAAAGAAGGCAGAAAAAAAATACAAAGAGATCACAAATAAGAGAGAGAATGAATAAATAGCACAATGGTACATTTAACCACTTTAATCACAACAACCAGTGAATGCTGTAAAAAAAATCAAAAGGCAGAGATTTTTGAAACAGGAAAAGATAGAGACTGTCATGAAAAGGTAGAGACTGTCAAATTGTATGGAAAAGAACAACAACACTAAATACATATTCACCTAATGACAGAACTTCAAGATACATAAAACAGAAAATGATAAAATTAAAAGAACTGCACCAATCCACAATTATAGCCACTATTATAGATGTCAATACCCTTCTCTCAATAAATGACAAATGAAGTAGACAGAAAAATCAGTAAAGGAAGACCTGAATAACTCTATCAACCAACATTCTACCTAACATTTTTCCCAAATACAACTGGATCACTGACCAAGATAGACTGTAAGATTGGCCGTAAAGAAAGTCTCAATAAATGTAAAAGAATTCAAATAATAAAAACTATGCTTTCTGGCCACAATGGTATTACAATAGAAACTAACAACAAGCCAAAGCAATCTCGAGAAAAACCAACAAAGCTGGAGGTATCACAATCTCTGAATTCAAAACATACTACAAAACTACAGTAATCACAACAGCATGGTACTGGTACAAAACACACACACAGCTCAATGGAACAGAACTGAGAGTCCAGAAATAAAACCACACATTTACGGACAGCTAATTTTCGACAAAGGAGCTAAGTACAGACAATAGAGAAAGGAAAGTCTCTTCAATAAATGGTGTTGGGAAAACTGGACAGCCACAGGCAAAAGAATGAAAGTAGACTATTATCTTACACCATACACAAAAATCAACTCAAAATGGATTAAAGAGATGAATGTAAGACATGAAACCATAATACTCCTAGCTGAAAACATAGCCAGTATGCTCTTCAACATTAGTCTTAGCAGTATCTTTTTGAATACCATGTCTCCTCAGGCACTGGAAACAAAGAAAAAAATTAACAAACGGGACTACATCAAACTAAAAGTCTTCCCCATCAACAAAATGAAAAGACAATCCACCAACTAGGAGAAAGTATTTGCAAGTCATATATCCAATAAGGGGTTAATTTCCAAAATATATAAAGAACTCACACAACTCAACAACAACAAAACAAACAATCCAATCAAAAAATGGGCAGAGGATATGAACAGACATTTTTCCAAAGAAGATTTACAGATGGCCAACAGGCACATGAAAAGATGTTCAGGGGACGGCCCGTTGGCACAGCGGTTAAGTTCACACCTTCCACTTTGGCAACCTGGGGTCTCCAGTTCAGATCCCGGGGGCAGACCTACACAATGCTTCTCAAGCCATGCTCTGGCAGGCATCCCACATAAAATAGAGGAAGATGGGCACGGATGTTAGCTCAGGGCCAGTCTTCCTCGGCAAAAAAAGGAGGATTGGCAGCAGAAGTTAGCTCAGGGCTAATCTTCTCCAAAAAGGAAAGAAAAGAAAAGATGTTCAACATCACTGATAATTAGAGAAATGCAAACCAAAGCTACAATGAGATATCACCTCACATCCATTGGAATGGCTATTACTAAAATGACATGAAATAACAAGAGTTGCAGAGGATGTGGAGAAAAGGGGAGCCTCATATACTGCTCGTGGGAATGCAAACTGCTACAGCCGCTACGGAAAACAGTATGGGGATTTCTCAAAATATTAAGAATAGAACTACCATACAATCCAGCTATTCCACTTCGGGGTAGATATCCAAAGAAGACGAAAACACTAATTTGAAAAGATACATGTACCCCTATGTTCATTGCAAAGATACATGTACCCCTATGTTCACTGCAGCATTATTCACAATAGCCACAACCGGGAAGCAACCTAAGTGCCCATCAACAGATGATGGATAAAGATGTGGTATATGCACACAATGGAATACTACCCAGCCATAAAAAAGACGAAATTGTGCCATTTGAGACAACATGGATGGACCTTGAGGGTATTATGCTAAGTGAAATGTTAGACAGAGAAGGACAAATACTGTATGATTTCACTCATGTGGAATATAAACAAACAAACAAACAAACACACAGAAACAGAGAACAGATTGGTGGTTACCAAAGGGGAAGAGGGTGGGGGAAGGCCAAAAGGGGTAAAGGGGCACATATATATGGTGACAGACGGAAACTAGACTTTTGGTGGTGGACATGATGTAACTTATACAGAAGCTGAAATATAATGATGTACACCTGAAATTTACACAATATTAAAAACCAATGTGACCTCAATTACAAAAATTTTCAAACTCAGAGAAAACAGTATTTGAAAGAGAACTGAGGGGCTGGCCCCGTGGCCGAGTGGTTAAGATCACGCGCTCCGCTGCAGGCGGCCCAGTGTTTCGTTGGTTTGAATCCTGGGCGCGGACTGGGCACTGCTCATCAAACCACGCTGAGGCAGCGTCCCACACGCCACAACTAGAAGGACCCACAACGAAGAATATACAACTATGTACCAGGGGGCTTTGGGGAGAAAAAGGAAAAAAATAAAATCTTAAAAAAAAAAAGATAACTGAAAAATCCGCATATATATGGAATCTAAACGTATTTCTAAATAACTCATGCATCAAAGAAGAAATCCCAGAAGAAATTTTAAAATATTTTGAATAGAATGGAAATGAAAGCATGACATATCAAAATTTGTGGGGTATACCCAGGCAGTTCTTAGAGGAAAATTTATAGCATTAAAAACTCATATTAGAAGAGAAGAAAATTCTCAAAACTATGGTTAAAGCTTAAGAAGCCAGAAAAAGAAGAGCAAAATAAACCCAAATAAGTAGGAAAAAAGTAAATAAAAGGAAGAAATCAATAAAAATAAAAAACAACCAAAAATGACAAAAAGAGAGAAAACCAATTAAACCAAAAACGATTTGTCTGAGATCAATAAAATTGACAAATCTCAAGCAAGTCCAATAAGGATAAAAAAGAGAAAAGACACAAATAAATAATATCAGGAAAGAGAGAGAAGACATCACTACAGAACCTTCAAACATTAAAAGTGATATGGGAATAGAGTAGACAATTTTACGCCAACAAACTAATGACTTAGATTGAATAGACAAATTCCTTGAAAGACACAAACTAGCCAAGTTGACTCAAGAAGTAATAGAGACAGGACTTCCAGAATGGTGGTATAAGGAGCTCGGCAGAACATTTCCCCATGAAACGATCATTTAAATGATCAAAATTGGAGCCAGCCTGTGGCACAGTGGTTAAGTTCGCACATTGCACTTTGGCGGCCCGGGGTTCGCCGCTTCGGATCCTGGGTGTGGACATGGCACCACTTGGCAAGCCATGCTGTGGTAGGCATCCCACACATAAAGTAGAGCAAGATGGGCACAGACGTTAGCTCAGGGCCAGTCTTCCTCAGCAAAAAAAGAGGAGGATTGGCAGCAGATGTTAGCTCAGGGCTAATCTTCCTCAAAAAAAAAAAGGTAAAAATTATTATTATTTTTAAATTTAAATTTTCTGGAAATTGTCCTAATGGCATACAGCAAATTAAAAAACATTTACTCAGGAAAATCTAGTAAATCTGGGTAAGAACAGCAAGTCTGTGCCATTTGAGCCATGTCCCACTCCTACCTCCACCCCTCCTACAAGTCGGAGTGATCCAGCTTTACAAGAAAATGAGACCCTCTCTCTCCTCTTAGCTCGCAGTCTAGGGTGAGAGTTTCTCCCTGGGAGAGCAGGCTGCTGCAGTCTCTAACGTTCTCAGCTTCATGTTGCAGAAGTTCTATTCCAGGCAAATGTAGCCAAGAGGACTGGGGCTCTGTTACCCCAAGTAGCCCCTACTTGGAAGGTGGAACTCTACCACAGGTAGGAGCAGGTTGAAAACACTGGGCCCTGAGCACCCACACCCCAGCTTGCTGACAGGATGCAGGTTCCATACCAGGAAGTATGTCACGGGCTGAAGTGTGTTCCTGAAAAATTCGTATGTTGAAGTCCTAACTCCCAGTACCTCATAATGTGATTGTATTTGGAGAAAAGGTCTTTAATGAGGTAATAAAGCTAAAATGAGGTCATTAGGATGGGCTCTAATCCAAGATGACTGGCGTCCAAACAAGAAGAAGAAATTTGGACAAAGACTCGTCTAAAGGGAAGACCTCGTGAAGACACAGGGAGAAGACAGTAACCTACAAACCACGGAGAGAGGCCTCAGAAGAAACAGCTCTGCCCACAACTTGATCTTGGACTCCTCACCTCCAGAACTGTGAAAAAATTAATTTCCGTAGTTTAAGCCCCCCAGTCTGTGGTAATTTGTTAAGGCAGCCCTAGCAAACTAATACAGATTTTGGTACCAGGATGTAGGGTGCTGCTGTAACAGATACTTAAAATTGTGGAAGTGGCTTTAGAACTGGGGAATGGGTAGAGGCTGGAAGAGTTTTGAGGTGCAAGTTAGAAAAAGAAACCAAAATTGAAGATTTGAAAGTTCTCAACCTATCTACATTACAAAAAAATGAGAAAATCTGTTCTGGAGAGAACATCAAGGGTGTGGCTGGACAATCACTCACTAAAGGAGCCCAACAATAAATCTGAACCGAAAGATGGACAAACCCGAAAACTTAAACACAGACTGATGGAGATTATGCAATCTGAGGAGCAGAGAGAAAAAAGAATGAGGAAAAATGAACAGAGCCTTAGAGAATTGTGGAACACCATTAGGCACACCAACCTATGTGTAATGGAAGTAACAGAAGGAGAGGAGAGAGAGAAAAGAGCAGAAAAATATTGACTATGTAGTGATCGAAAACTTCCCAAATATGATAAAAACAATATATATCCCTGAAGCTCAACAAACTCTAAGTCGGAGAAATGAAAGGAGGGCTACACCAAGACGCATCATGGTCAGATGTTGAAAGCTGAAAGTATATATCCAAAGGAATTCAAAGCAGGGACTCAAACAGATATTTTTATGTCAATGTTCATTGAAGCATTATTCACTAAAACCAAAAGGTGAAAACAATCCAAGTGTCCATCCACAGATGAAAGGATAAGCAAAACGTAGTGTATATGTACAAAGGTATATTATTCAATGATAAAAAGGAATAAAGATCTGATACATGACACAACATGGATGAACACTGAAAACATTATGCTAAATGAAATAAGCCATGCAAATGGACAAATACTGTATGAATCCACTTATATGAAGTATCTAGAATAGGCAAATTCATAGAAATAGAAAGTAGATTAGACATAACCAGGGGTTAGAGAGAGGGTAGGGTGGAGACTTATTGCTTAACAATTACAGACTTTCTGTTGGGGGTGATGAAAAAGTTTTGAAAACAGTGGTGAAGGTTGCACAACATTTTGAATGGAATTAGTGCTACTGAATTGTACACTTAAAAATGGTTAAAATGACAAATTTTATGTTGAATATATTTTACCACAATTTTAAAAAATCAATAATGTAATATATCGAAACCCACTGAATTGTACACTTGTAATGGGTGAGTGGTATGGTATGTAAATTATATCTCAATAAAGCTGTTTTTTACCCTTAATAAAAAGATATAAAGAACATAACTAGCTTTATGCCTACTAAGGAAATTGATTTCCACTTCAGGCCTAGATGACTTTATGGCTGAATTCTACTAAACATTTTTTTTCGAACTTTACAGAAGTATAATTGACAATAAAAATTGCATGTACTTAAGGTGTACAATGCAAACAGTTGATATACACATACATTGTGAAATGATTATTACAGTCAAGTTAACTAACACATCCATCACAGTTACTTTTTTGTTGTGTGTGGTGAGAACACTTCAGATCTACTGTCTTGGGGCTGGCCCAGTGGCATAGCAGTTAAGTTTGCGTGCTCTGCTTTAGCGGCCCAGGGTTCACCGGTTCGGATCCTGGGCACGGACATGGGAACCACTTATCAAGCCATGCTGTGGCAGGCGTCCCACATGTAAAGTAGAGGAAGATGGGCACATATGTTAGCTAAGGGCCAATCTTCCTCAGCAAAAAGAGGAAGATTGGTGGCAGATGCTAGCTCAGAGCTAATCTTCCTCAAACAAAACTACTCTCTTAAAAAATTTCAAGTATACAATACAGTATCATTAACTATAATCACTATGCTGTACAATAGGACCCAAAGGTTATTTGTCTTATAACTACAAGTTTGTACCCTTTGACAAGCATTTCCCTATTCCCCCCCCCACCTTCTTCCAAACATCCCAGGAGGGAGTATAAGTTCTACGCAAAATCTTCCAGACTTTTAAAGAGGAAGGAATACTGTCCAACTCACTTTATGTAGCCAACATTATCCTGATACCAAAACCAGATAAAGACATTACAAGAAAAAAGAACTATAAACCAATATCCCTCATGAAAATAGATGGAAAAATTCTTCACAATTTTTGAACAAACAACTTATCATGAATTGAGTGAAAAAACAAAATATATCATGACCAAGTGGGGTTTAACCCAGGAATGCAAAGTTGACTTAATGTTAAAATCAATTAATATAGTTTACCATATCAACAAACTAAAGAAAAAATAATCATTTTAATATATATATAAAAACATTCGATGCACAAAGATTCATTCAGTACAATAACTCTCAACAAACAAGGAATAAAAGGGAATTCTTTCCACCTGATAAAGAGTATCTACAAAAACCCTACAGTTGACATTATATTTCAGGATGCAAGACTGAATGCTTTTACCCTAAGATCTGGAATGAAGCAACAATGTTTACCTACCACTTCTATTGGAGGTCCTAGACAGTACCGTAAGGCAAAAGAAAAAATCAAACATGCAGATTGGAAAAGAAGTAAAACTGTCTTTATTTTCAAGTGCATAATTGTCTAAGAAAACCCTGAGGAATCTACAAATAAAAGCTACTAGAACTTTTAAGTGAGTCTAGCAAGATTGCAGATACGAGGTCAATATGCAAAAATTAGTTACATTTCTATGTCTAGCAAGAAATGGTCAAACTGAAATTTAAAGTACCATTTTCAATAACGTAAACATGGATTTTCTAGGAATAAATTTGAGAAAAGATATTCAGGACTATACACTGAGAAGTGTAAAACATTGCTGACAGAAATCCAAGATTACCTTAATAAATGGAGAGAGATACTGGTTCATGGATCGGAAGACTCAGTTGTCATTTTTCCTCAAATTGACCTGTAGATTTGAGAGAATCTCAATGAAAATCTCAATAGGTTCTTTTGAAGAAATACATTAGTCAACCCTAAAATGAATATGGAACTACAAAGGATATAGAATAGCCAAAACAACTTGGAAATAGAAGAGCAAAGTAGAAGGACTAAAACTACTTGATTCCAAGCTTATCATAAAGAGACAGTAATCCAGACAACGTGGTATTGGAATAGTCACAGGCCAGCGGAACACCATAGAGAGTTCAGAAGTAGACTCACAAATTTATGGACAATAGATTTTTAAAGTAACAGTTTTATTAAGATATAATTCACATACAATACAATTCACGCATTTTAAATGTACGATTAAATGGTTTTTCGTATATTCAGAGAGTTGCGCAACCATCATTACTATTTAATTTTAGAAAATTTAGGTCACCCACAAAAGAAACCCTGTATCAATTAGCAGTCACTCCCCATTTCCTCCTGAATCCTCCTACCCTGGCCCTAGGCAGCCACCAATCTACTTTCTGTTTCAATGGACTCGCCTATTCTAGACATTTCACATAAATGGTATCATACAATATGTGGTCTTTTGTGACTGGATTCTTCACTTAGTTTAATGCTTTCAATGTTGTAGCATGTATCATTTCTTTTCCTTGCTTAGTAATATTTCATTGTATGGATATACCACCTTTTGGTTATTTATTCATGAGTTGATGGACATTTGCTTCCCCTTTGGGGCTTTTACAAATCATTCTGCTATGAGCATTTGTTTACAAGTTTTTGCGAGGACATACGTTTTCAGTTATCTTGGTTATATACTTGGGAGTGAAATTGCTGGGTAACTTTATGCTTAACCTTTTGAAGAACTGCCAGACTTTGGAAAATATCCCAAGCAGTTGCACTATTTTACATTCCCAACAGCATGAATGTTCCAATTTTTCTACACCCTAGCCAACACTTACCTGTCTTTGGTGATTATGGCCATCCAAGCAGATGTGAAGTGGTATCTCATTTGGTTTTAATTTGCATTTCCCTATTAGTTAATTATGTTGAGCATTTTTTCATGTGTTTATTGGCCATTTGTATATCTTCTTTGGAGAAATGTCTATTCAAATCTGAGAAACCATTGCCTAATCCAAGGTCACAAAGATTTAAATCTACGTAGTCTTGTAAGAGTTTATAGGTTTAGCTCTTGCATTTAGCTCTTTGATCCATTTGAGTAAATTTTTGTATATGGTATGAGATAGCTGTACAACTTCATTCTTTTTATGTGGCTATCCTGTGGACAAATGATTTTTGACAAAGAAGCCAAGAGAATTCAAAGAGGAAATGATCATCTTTTCAATAAATGGTGATAGGAAATTGGAGAGCCATACGCAAAAAAAAGTCTTAATCGTTGTTTCACACCATATGGAAATATTAGTTCAAAATGGATCATAATAAGTGTCTAAATATAAGAGCCAAAATTATAAATTTTCTAGAAGAAAATATAGGAGAAAATCTTAGTGATGTTGGGTTAAGCAAAAATTTCTTAAATAAAGCATAAACTAAAATAAAAGGCATAAACTATAAAAGAAAAGTCAATAAATTTGACTTCATGAAAATTAAAAATTTTTGTTCCTTAAAAGACACATAAGAAAATAGACGATCCAGCCACAGATTGAGAGAAAGTGTTTTCAAAACACGTATCTGACAAAGTAACTGTATCTAGAATAGACATAAAATTCTTACAACTCAATAATAATAAGACAATCCAGTTTATCACATGGGCAAAAGATTTGATCAGATGTTTAAACTAACTATTTTGGAAAACATTTTGGCAGGTTCTTAAACAGTCAAGACTTCACCTTCCAGTTGATTCAGTACTCCCACTCCTAGAGAAATGTGAACATACATGCACATGAAAACTTGTACAAGATTCTTTATAGCAGCTTTATTTGTAATAGCCCCAAACCGCAAACAACTCAAAAGCCCATCAGCGGGGGAACAGATAAACAAATTGCGTTATATCTATATAATGGGTGCTACTTAGCAATAAAAGAAATGACAACTGATACAACAACATGGATGAATCTCTAAACAGTGATGCTGAGAGAAAGAAGTGTTAGAAAATGCAAACAAATCTATTGTGACAAAATAATCAGAGGTCTCCTGGGGATGGGGCACAGAGGGAAGAGACAGGGATAGACTACAAAGGAGCAAGAGAAGTTTTGTGTGTGATGGATATGTTCCTTATTTTGATTGTGGTTATAGTTTGAGTAGTATATAACAAGACAAAACTTATCAAATTGTACACTTTAGGTATGTGCAGTTCATTGTACATCACATATCTTAATAAAACATCGGAAAGAAACAATATATGGTACTTTAATGTGTTTTCACATATAAATGAATTTATCCGTTTTCTTGTTGATGAGTGTCTAGGTTGTTCTCAGTTTTCAATTTAGAAAGAGCGCTGCAGTTAATATTCTTATATGTCTCTCTGTGTACGTACATGTGAGGGTTTCCAAAGTAGGCCCCCAGAGTAGAGTTGCTGGGTCATAGCTATGCACATCTGCCACTTTACTGGATCTTCCCAAATTGTTCTTCAGGGTCATTCCCTTTTATACCACACACCATTAGCAGTGTACGCAATTTAAGCTTGTTCCACTCTTTCCAATATCATGGATCTAAAGTAATAAATTGTTTTAATTTGTACTTCTTTAATTATTAGAAAAGTTGGGCACTTCCTTGTAAATGCTAGTCATTTGAATTTCTGGATACTGACTAAAATTTGGTGGGAGGAATAATGGAGGAACCACCTGAATTTTCTCCCAAATGTAGCCAATTACTTTAATATCATTTGCTGAAAAATTATCATTTTCCACTGATTTGAAATGCCACCTCTAATATGTACTTATTTCTCCCGTGTGCTTTTTTTTTTTCCTGGAGTTTTAATTCTGTTCTAGAAATAAATCTGAGTAACTAAGGGCATTCAGTAAATGACCTGATCTGCTTATCCTTTCCTACATTGGTAATTTACTCTTGCAATTTTTGTAATTCTAGATGATGTTGATGAGGAGGGAAAAAATTTTTTCCTTTACTTTCTCAGGTTCAATAACTGGGGTCTTGCAAATTGAACTGACAAAAGACAGATTAACAGGAGAAAAAGGTTTATTTCATATGCATATGGTGGAGGGGCCTCAGAAATGACATGAAAATCCTAAAGAGGCAGACTGTTACCATTTTCACAAAGGGAAATAAATTTGTGAAGAAATGACAAGACAAAGGAAAAGAGGTTTGAGCTTCTAAGGGTGGTAAATTGTGAGGAGGTAAATATAGGGGGAAACTAAGGAAAGATAAAGGTTATTTATTAAAATTTGTTTGTGCAGGCTCATGTTGGTGCCGATTTTCTGTCTTCTTCATAGCCATAAAACTCCCTTAGGAGAAGAGACTTATGGCAGCCCTCAGCTTTTAGAAGTTTCTGCTCTTAGTCAGATAAAGAATCTCCAAGAAGGCTTCTTTCTGTATCTGTTGATTCTCAATGGCCTTACCTCAAAATAATCCATATGGCATATTTTGGGTGGTGCATTCTAATCCCCTTCAATAAACTGCCAATTACTCTATTTCTTTTTTAACATTCCTGGATACTCCTACATGTCTACTTTCCCATGTTTATGAATTTTAGAATTAGTTTTTAAGATTAAAAGAATTTCCAGAACTAAAAGAAACAACTGGGTTCAAGCAGAACAAGAATTAATAACCTGGGACTGAATAAGCTGAGAAGGATAGTTACAATTTTTACGACTTCTTGTTTGAAACATTTCTGGTTCTTTAGTGTTTTGTTTTTCCAGATTTAAGGAAACTTTTTCTCTTAAGCTACCTATGATTTACAATTGGTAAAGTATACCTTTGTAAACAAAGAGGAAACATTTACTTTTTCTCCCTGTATGATCCCTCCAGAATTTAGAAACTCAAGTGTTCTTTTCATGGCAATACAGTAAGTTACTTGCATAATTTCAATAAGAATCTGTTCTCCTTCTAACAGGGTACAATTGAAAACATTGGCTATGTTACCAAGGCTTTGACTGGAATGTCATCGTTGAGAGAGATATGCATAGATTCAGACATGACCAGACAGCTCTAAGGAACTGCTTGAAACTTGGCTTGGCTTCCTGGCCTCAGAGGCTTTGAAAGAGTCAAATCTGAGATTCCTTATAAAAAGTTCCAGCAAAGCAGTCTTAAAAGAGCTTATGTGGTCAATCACCATTCTTGCTACACTCATGTAAATAATCAGGCCAAGTTTAATACAAACGAATTAGTTTTACTGTGATTATCTTTGGTAAAAAATGGGGTAATTGTAGAGAGAAAAATTATGTTTGCACCTTTGTAGATATTTAGATTCTAACCCTGTTAATTGTCTTTGAGGTTTTGTTATATACCTGTAAACTGAACTGGATCCTAAATTCTTCTAATTTTCTCAAATATCTGGCTACCACTCTCCAACCTAATGTTTCCTATTTCCTCCCATCCTTCTGATTTGGAATCACTGAGACCAAAGACTGTCCTTGAATCTCCTTGGGAAGGACTATACTAGGTCTTCCTCCCGACCCAGATGGCAGCCAAACCTCCAGGACTTAAACCTTGGCTACACATCTCACAGTGGAAGAAAGCTCCTCCTGACCTCTGGTCCTTTACAAACACTGAAGACCTCTGAATCAAACTGATGAGCAGGAGAAGCAGCTGACATTGACGTAGACTGCTTCCACCCAAGACACCAGATCAACATTTCCCATTTTAACTAAACACGAAACACTTTCTTCCTCTCTTTCTTTCCTTTACTCTGGCATTGGCCTGGCAAGATAATGCCACCATCATATCTCCCAAGCCATTACTAAGGGAGAGTAACCTTTCAGACAGCTGGATTCATCATCAAAAACTCCAATCTGTTCATGATGCTGGAACCCATGAACAATGCCACCTGAGCAGTAATGGTTTATGCCCCAACAGGATTTAATTTCATCGGTGGTGGTGATCATTCTCCTTGGACCTATAAATGCTTAG